CTGCATAGCAAGACCCTGTCTCAAAAAGACAAAAATAAATAAATAAATAAACAAACAAATAAAAAGGCAGCCAGGTGGACAGCACATACTAGCATTCAGGAGGCTGAGGCAGTGGGATCACAAGTTCCAGTCCAGTCTGGATAACTCAGCACCTCAGTGACTTAGCAAGACCCGGTCTCAAAATAAAAAATAGAAAGGGCTGAGGACGGAGCTCAGTGTTGAAGGCGCCGGGCTCCATCCCCAGTTACCCGCCCGCCCTTAAGAAGGTTTTGCTGACAGAATGCCAGACAGAGGGCAGGGGATGCCCTGAGAGACAGGAAGCGCTGCCTCCTTGGTTGCTGGCATGGGCTGCACACTGAGGGGGGGGTGGGGCCACCCCTGGGGCGGGGGCGGGGTGGGGACGCCCAGCAGCGCCCTCCTGCCTGCCCCTCCCCTCCCCCGCCCCACTGGCCACCCTGACCGGCCCCCAGCTGTCCTCAGCCACCTGTCCCTGTCTGTTCCAGCCGCCCTCCCACGCCCCATCGTGTCCGCAGGGCCGCGCAGAGGCTGTGGGGTAAGAGGGGCTGGGGGAGGCCTGGGCAGAGTGCGGGACCCCGGCATGGGGGGAGGGCATCTCTGAAGTCCACAGGAGTCCCCAAGGTCTGTAGCGGCCCGCCCCACACACACCTGGACCAACACGCCTGCCTCCCATGCGGGCCGGGCCCCTCCCCCAGTGCCGTCGGAGTCCCCGGGAGGGGGGGCCTCGCGGCCGGCAAGGGCACTCACCAACGCTGACCGGCGGCCAGAGGCCCTGGGCACTCCCGAGAGCAAGGCTGTGGGTCTGGCTTCAAGCTCAGCCTGAGTCTCCAAGGAGTCCAGCTCCAGCCTCAGTTTCCCCCCCGGCCACGTACAAGCAGAGCAGCAACAGGAGACAGGGACCCAGTGCAAGGATCAGCAGGTGCCTAGGGCCTCCTCTCCTGTCCCCAGCTGTCACCCAAACCGGGCTGGCTCTGCCTGCTGGGGCTTTGACCCCCGAGGTCCCTGGGGTGCAGCTTTTTTTGTATTTTTTGGTCCCCATCACCACCACCATTCCCAGCCCTTTTTATTTATTTAGAGACAGGTCTTGATAAATGCTAAAATTGCCCGGTTTGACTTCAAACTTTCTATCTTCCTGCCTCAGCCTCCCACAATGCTGGGATGACAGGTAGAAGGCTTTGGGGTGGGGTGTTGAGTGCCAGGAAAAGTGGGTGAGGATGGTCTGCGTGGAGGAGACCCCAAGGAAGGGACAGCCCGGGAGGACTGTCTGCCCTGGCCTGCTGGCCTTGGACACCAGATAAAAATAGTCCCTGGTCTCAGAAAACATGAGCTGACCTGGGCCTGGGTTCTGATTTGGGCTGTACCTTTGACTCATTGCTGTGTGGCTTTGGGAGGTTTCTAGTCCCTCTCTGACCTCCTACAGCCCTGGCTGCTGCACTCAGCAGTGCAGGAGTGTGACCCCGGAGAGGCGAGACCACCACCAGCACGGGGACAGTCTCAGGGCAGGCGTGAGGGAGATGATGGCGGTGCCCAGGGCTGCACCTTGTAATAGCCTCACACTGCAGCAGGCAGGTGACACCTGCCTTTCATCTCAGCACTCTGAGAGGCTGAGGCAGGAGGATCCCAGCCTGGGCAGTTTAGCAAGACCTTGTCTCCAAAGAAGAAACAAGCTGCGTGTGGTGGCGCACACCTGTAATCCCAGCACTCGGGAGGCTGAGGCAGGAGGATCATTGCAAGTTCGAGTCCAGCCTGGGCCACAAAGTGAGCTCAAGACTAGCCTGAACTGCATAGTGAGACCCTGTCTCAAAAAAACAAAACAACAAAAAAAGTGAAAAGGCCTGGGGATGTAGCACAGTGTAAAGGTCCTGGGTCCCAGCCCCAGTATCAGGGGGGAAAAAGTATGAATTAGTCCAGGAAGCTACTCTGCAGAAAGAGGAAGACAGGGCCAGGAGGAGGCCCAGCGCCTGGTTACTTCCTCCCCTAGGCCACTGTGGCCCCAGCAGGTCCGGGAAAGGCAACACCCTCTCCTGTCCTCTCCCAGCCCCACTGCAGAGCAAGGAAGCTGCTCCCATCTCCATGACAACCAGGGCCTCTGAGGAGCTGGACCGGGGGCTGGGCAGCTGCCTGGCTGGTGAGGACCTCTCTGCGCTGGCGGAGCCCTGCCCCGGGCAGCTGCAGGAGGACAAGGCCCAAGGTACCTGGTTACCCCTCCAGTCTGCACTGACTTCCACCGTGCCCCCCACTTTGCCTCAGGGTTTGCCCCAGAACTCAGGTACCCGACACAGATGGGGTTCGAGTCCCAGCAGCCTGCTAGTGAGTACTGTGTATCTTTGGGCAAAGTCCTCTCTGAGTCAGTCTGCTCTGTCCCCTGTAATGCGGCCCTTTTCTGCCCTGGCCCAGCACAGCAAGAAGGGGTGTGTGATAAACGTGGGGAGGGGCTCCCCACAACCTTGACTGTCTCTCTGTTCTCACCAACAGAGACACCCAGGCTGGCTGAAACCAGCAGCTGGGCCCAGGTGAGTAGCTGGGGACCTCAGAGCTGGGGACATGCTGGCCAAGGAGGAAACTGTCTTTTAGAGGACAAAAAGAAACACCACCCTGAACTGGCTATGCTGCCCCATGCCTGTCATACTATCATTCTGGGAGGCTGAGGCAGGAGGATCTCAAATTTAAGTCTAGGTGATTTAGGCTTAGTCACTACTTAATTTAGCAAGTCTGTCTTGAAATAAAAAACTAAAAAGGAGTCGGGACTGTAGCTCAATGCAAAGGCCCGGGGTTGCATCCCCACTACTGAAAAAGAAAAAAGAAAAAGGAAAAGGAAAAAGAGAAAGAGAGGCGGAAGGAAGCCCACCCTGCCCGTCTGCTCTCCCCCACAGGACCCTCAGCAGCCCCAGGCAGCCGGGGGTGTGGACGCCAGGCCCAAAAAGATGGAGAAGGAGCCTGTGACCCGGGGGACCCCAGGCCCGGGGAAGGAGAAGCTGAAATCTGGAGCAAGTGGGTTTGCAGCAGGCTTGGGTGAAGTGGGCGTGGCGCGGGGGTGGGCCAGGCTGAGTCCTTGATGGCGGGCGCTGGGGAACAGGAGGGACGAGGGCCCTGGCTAAGCTGCGTGGCTCCGGTTCACCAGCCTCTGCGGGGCTCCTCCCGCGCCCGACCGCAAACTCCTCCCGCGCAGCGCCCCGGAGCGCCCCAGCCCGCAAGAAGGCGCAGGCCGCGCCCCCCGCCCAGCCGCCCCCGCCGCCCCCGGCCCTGAGCGAGGAGCTGCCCTGGGGAGACGTGACGCTCAACAAGTGCCTGGTCCTGGCCTCGCTTGTGGCGCTGCTGGGCTCAGCCTTTCAGCTGTGCCGGGGTGAGCCCGGGTCCCCCGACGTGGGGCGGGGCTGGGGTCGCCTGAGCGCCCCGCCTCCAGAAAGGGCGGTGCAAGCGCGAGGGTGTCGTCTCTGCGTCTCCTCTCTTTGGGATGGGTCTTTGTTTGTTTGTTTCCTCCTTTTTTTTTTTTTTTTTTTTGAGACAGGGTCACGCTCTGCAGTTCAGGCTGGCCTTGAGCTCACTGTAGCCCAGGCTGGTCTCGAACTCGCAACGATCCTCCTGCCTCAGCCTCCCGAGTGCTGAGATTCCAGGCGTGCGCCACCACGCCGGGCTTGTTTGTTTCCTCAAAATACTGGGGATGGAATCCTGGCCCTTTGTACTGAGGTCCATGCCCGGATCTTTTAATTAATTAATTAATTAATTAATTAATATAAAAAAAATTTTTTTTTTGAGACAGGGTCTCGCTAAGTCGCTGAATTGCCCGGGTTGGGCTGGAATTTTCAACCCTCCTGCCTCAGCCTCCCACAGCCCGGGGATGGCAGGCGCGCACCACTGCGCTTGGTTTAATGGATGAGTTTGGGGCTCTCGCCCCTTGTCCAGGCCTGCGACGACTCTGTCCCCACCCTGAGCGTGGCGCGACTCCCTCACCTCTACGAACCTTGCCCGGGGTCCTCACATCCCCCTTCCTGAAACAGTAACGAGTGCGCCTCGCGGTCACTCCTGAGCTCCCTCTGGCGGTCGCCCTTTGCTTGTCTCCCCGAGAAGGGTCCGGCGCGGTGTCCGTTCCCTTGGACCTTCTCCCCCACCAGCTTAGGGACAGCCCTCCAGTACCCTGTGCGCACGAGAGGCTCAGAAGAAGCCCGGGGAATCCCGCGGCCCAGATACAGGTGCTGGGGGAGAAGGTGGATGGATGGTGTGGTCGGGGCTGCGCCAGGTTGATCCACCTTCCAACTCTCCCCCCACTCCAGACGCTGTGGCTGGGGAACAGGCCACCCCTGCCCCTTGGGTCCCACCAATCTCACCCCCCAAGGACCCGGTGTCGCCCATGGTAAGCACTTCCTTCCAGAGGCCCCGGGTGGTGCGCGGCCATCCGAGGGTGGGGGAGGCTGGGTCGGTGGGAGAGGCGGGCTTGGGGCCCAGGACACCACACTGTCCGTGTTGCAGCCTAAACCTGCGGCCGGGACGCCCCCATCGAGACCACGCACGCCCCAGGTGGGGCCACCTGCACCTCAGGGGGAGGCAGGGGACAAGCCCGAGGTTCCCAGGAGCCAGGAGGCTGCAGAGAAGGTGCAAAGAGATCCTGCAGAGGCCACCAGCGAGGCCGCTGGGGAAGAGCGTGCAACCCTCGCCGAGCAGGGACACAAGGAGAAGCCGAGGAAGGAGAAGCCGCGGAGGGAGAGGCCGCGGAAATCCGAGAAGCCGTGGAAAGAGAAACTGCAGAAGGAGGAAAGGCCGCGGAAGGAGAGGCCTCGGAGGGAGGCGAGGCCTCGGGCTGCCGGGGAGCCCCGGGAAGCTCTGCCCCGACGCTGGGAGACTCGCGAAGAGGGCCACCGACTGTGGGCGCGGAACTCCGGGGACCCGGAGCACCGGAAAGGGCAGGCCTGGGCCTCCCCGCGGCGCCCGGAGGAGGGCCGGCCTCCGGGGAGACAGAGGCACCGCCAGGGCAAAGGGCGGGACTGAGCGGGCCGGGTGCTGCGCGAATCCCTGCCCGGCTCCACTCTCTGCGGCGGCCCGTGGCTCCAGCAAAATAAAGCGAGTGCTGCGGCCACCAAGGCGCCTGCTCCTTTGTGCCTCGACCCCGCGGCCCGATGGATGGGGTGGAGAGGTGCCGGCGGGGGGCGGGCAGGGAGCACCCGTGGGGCTGAGCCAGGCCTTGCGCAGGAACAGAAGGCATCCACGCACGGTCACCCAGCTAGGTGCTCCTGGTCTTTATTGGGAAATGCCTGCGTCTGAATAAACAGGAAGGGCTCCTCCGCGGCGGTGGCGAAGGTCACCGGCAGCCGCACTCGGTGGCCACCATGTTGGGCACGTGGTGCGCGCTGATGCGTTCCTCAGACAGGCTGATGAGGAGCTTGCCCGCGTAGGCCGTGGGCACACAGCAGGGCGCGCGCGCCAGGACCGCCCCGCGGGCCTGCATCTTCAACAGCAGCACCACGTGGTTGCCGTAGTGCGGGTTGCGGTCGGACTGTGGCCAGCCGCAGGCGCCCTGGCAGTTGTTGGCTTGGTAGGTCTCGGGGATGAGCACGGAGCGCTCGGCGCGCAGGTCCACGCTGAGCTCGCGCAGCGCGCACGGCCCCTCCGCCGAGGCGCTGCGCTGCGCCCGAGCAGCCCCGCGCCCGTCCCGCCCGCGCCACTCCCTGCGCAGGCTCTGCAGCGCCTTGAGAAGCAGTAGGGAGCGAAGTGGGTTTCCCGGAGGGCTGCCAGGGTCGCTGGGGTCACCCGGGCACAGAGCAAGCAGGCGCGCAAGCAGCGGGGGCACGGCAGGCGGCAGCCCCGGGAGGCCGCGCAGCTCAGCGGCTGCAGCCTGCAGCTCGACAGCCACCCGGTGCGCCAAGCCTGCGGCCCAGGGTGCCGACGCTGGGCCCTGCAGTGGCGCCAGGTGCCCGGCACTGGCTGCACCGGGTGGCGTCAGTAGCAGAAAAGGCTCGTCAAAGTCTAGCAGACGTTCCAGCGTCGCAGGGTCAGACAGGTTGACCAGGCCCTGCGGGAAACTGGTCAGGGCGCCCGGGTCCAGGGCCAGACGCATTGGAGAAGACCGGGCCGGGGCCCCCCGCAGCGCACGCACCAGGCGCGTGAGGGTCTCCAGGAAGGGGTCCCCGAGGGGTGGCAGCTCCTCGGGCTCTAAGGAAGGCCTGGAACCCACAGTGGGAGCCGGGGTCACGAGGGCTTCGGGTTGCCCTGCCTCCACGCCACCCCCCACACCACTCCCTCGCCTACTGTTCTGGGCCTGCACGCACCTAGGCGGTGGGAAGGGCGCTGTGTCCAGCTGGCCGCGCGCGGGCAAGGGCGCAGGCCTGGATCGTGGTAGCAGGAGGAGGGCAGGGGTCATCCTCGTGAAGCAGCGGGGGTCCGGCCCAAACATCAGGGTCTGCAGCTGGGTGGTGCTCAGGGTAGCACCTGCCCCAGGAGAGGGTTGCAGGCTGGCTCAGGGCCTGGGGGCCCAGGGTAACTGCCCACTGCGTGGTCTTCCCCCTCCTCCCCCCGACCCCGCGCGCGGGCCTACCGTTTTTCCGAGGCTGCAAGGTCAGGGCAAGCCCTGCTCCGACCCAGGCCCTCTCCGGGTGGTCCACAACCAGCACCAGATAGCGGGTGTCCGGGGTGGGGCAGAGGCTCTGCAGAGAGGGGGGCTCAGCCCGGCCTGGTGGGAACACTGCCCCGCCCAGCCCGGCTTTGCACACCCTTTCCTCCCCAGCACACTCTCCCCAGGGCCCTTGGAGCCCCCTGCCGTGCAACCGGAGGTCCCATGCAGCTGTTTCCAGGTACCTGGGCAGCTGGCAGCCCAGCCCCAGTGACAGTGACTTCGGGGCCAGGTCCAGGGTACAGCACCAGCACTGCCTGCTCCAGGGGGCTGGCTGCTCCGGGTGGGGGCTCCTGGAACCTCAGCGAGGGTGTCGGGTCCCACATCACTGCAGCCAGGAGAGGGGGACTGCTGAGCCACTGGGGCTGGGCGGCCCCCAGGGAGCCCCTTCCCAGCAGGACAGAAACCTGGACAGGCCGGAGAGCTCCGAGGGCACTGCGCCCTGGTCCCAGGGTGCCAGGTGCCAGTGACCCCTCTCCCTGCTGCCTTCCGTGGGGTGGGCAGGGACCATGCCTGAAGGTTGTAGGGGGGACTGCCCCTTGGGATTTGTGGGCCTAGCCTGGTCCTGGGCATCTGGGGAGGCCCCTTCCGTGCTGCTTCCTTTGGGGTGGGAGGGGGCCATCTGGGAACCCCCACCCTGATCCCCAACTTCCAGGCAGGACAGAGATGGAAGGCATGGCGCCCGATCTTAGGAGGGGAGTCTGCCACCCTCAAACTCAGGTGCTGCACTCCCCAGGATCCCCCATGTACCTTCCGCCAGGTGCAGGACCAGCAGCCGCTGCCCCTCAGGCTCCTGCAGCCAGGCCCCCAGGCGCTGCAGAGCGGGCAGAGCTGCCTGCATGTGGCCAGAGCTGCAGACCCCGAAGGTGGCCAGGTCGTGGGGTCCCCACTGAGCGCCTCGCACAGCCTCCAGGAAGGCCTGCTCGTAGCTGCTCAGGCCCCCCACCACCTGCAGGGGACCCCCACTCCTGTTGCTGGCACTGCTCAGGGTCACCAGGCACAAAGGGTTTCTCGGGCTGCCTGATGACCAGACCCAGCCTTCGGAGAAGATGAGGGCCCCGGGGCCAGCAGCCGGCTCTTCTCGAGGGATCTCAGCCCCCAGCGCCGCCCCCAGAGCCAGAAGCATCAGGGGTGGCCTGGTGAGAGGTGACCCCTGCATGATGGATGTGCGGGGGCTTGGAGGCCTGGCTCTGGCTTATATGGCCAGGGTGGAATGTTTGGGGGAAGGAGGCCCCTATCTCCTCTGGAGGTGGCCTTGGGGGCAAGGCGCAGTGCCCCACCAGGGGCCTGGGCAGGTGGGAGGCGGCCTTCTCAAAGGGCCGTCTGTCTCGGCCGGGCCACGTATCTTCGCTCTCAGTAGATACAGCTCAGCCTAACTGCACTGGTCACAAAGCTGTCCTTGAGGCGCTGGCCCCTGGGACGGTAAACAGCACCGGGGCAGCACAAAGCCTGCAAAGCCCCGGAGGCCATCAGCACAGGCACCCAGCCCTGCAGAGGACCCGTGGTCCTGCGGGTACGGCAGCAGGCCTCAAGTTGCTGGGGTTCCCTAGAGCCCTCACCCACTGTTTTTTTGGAGACAGGGTTTTACCATGCAGTTCAGGCTGGCCTTGGACTATGTAGCTCAGCGTGGCATGGAGCTCCTGGTGATCCTCCCGCCTCTGCCTCCCAAATGGTGGGGTTAAAAGCCTGCACCACCACATCCAACATCCTTATCCATTTTTCGGGCCCCTGCTAAGGTGCCACAGCTGGACACCCCAGGAGCAGGGTGAGTGCAGCCACCGGGGGCAGTGTGGCGTGGTAGGCACAGCGCCTCCGTGTGTGCACATCTGTGCGCTCATGTCTCACGCAGCCCCCACCCCTCCTCGTCCTCCGCAGACACCACAGAAACCAGAGACACGGGGGAGGCTGTTTAATGGGCTCCAGGGACAGACGTACAAAAGTTCAGGACTTCTCTCCGTGGGAAACAGAGAAACACAGCCAGGCACAGAACAGGGAGGGGGCGGTGCCTCAGTTGGTTGGAGGAGGGGGAGGAATGTTCCCAGGACCCTCGGAGGGGAGCGGGGGCCTCAGCATTGGAGGCATGGGAGTTGGGGGGTGTACCCCTGGATTTGAGGGATGAACTCCAGGAGGCTGGGGGTGCACCCCAGGAGCTGCAGGATGGACCCCAGGAGGCTGGGGGTGGACCCCAGGAGCCTGTGGGTGAATCCCAGGGGCTGCAGGGTGCACCCCGGGGGCCTGGGGGTGAACAGCAGGAGCAGGTGGGTGCACTCCTGGGGCCTGTGGGTGGACCCCAGCTGATGGGGGAGGGTGCACCCCTGGGGCCGGTGGGTGGACCCCAGGGGCCGGTGGATGGACCCCAGGGGCTGGAGGGTGAACCCCTGGGGCTGGTGGGTGGACCCCAGATGCAGGAGGATGGACCACTGGTGCTGGGGGGTGAACCCCTGGAGCTGGGGGATGGACCCCGGACGTGGGGGGGTGGACGACTGGTGCTGGGGGGTGGACCCCAGGAGCTGGAGGGGGCAGCTGGGGAGGCCCAGGAGGGCCAGAGGGTGCAGGCCCAGTGGGGGGCATGGGGGGCAGTGGCAGGCCTCCTGGTGGGGGCGGGGGAAGAGACTCAGGCAGCGGAGGCCTCGGGGGCAACCCATTCATCAGCGGGGGTGGGGGTCGCTTCACCCCAGGGGGCCCCGCGGGGAGGCTAGGCGGTGCCGGGGGCTTCTCCATCTTGAAGTGGAACTGGAGGAAGAACTAGAAGGGGAGGGCAAGGCTCAGCAGCTGGTACTGAGGACTGCGCCCCCTAACTGCCCAGGCCTGTCACCCACCTGCTTGGTTTCCCGGTTCCAGTGGGTCCAGAATTTGCCTTCAGCCTTGTCAATCTCTCTGCTGGGCACCTGTGGGGTGCAGCTGTGTGACAAGGTCCTGGCCCCCACGGCCTTCAAGACCACAGGGGCCACGGCTGGAGGGCTAGAGTTTAGCCAGGGGCTTGGGAAAGTGGGGCATCTGCTCTCACACTAGGCCCTTCCAGAGGCAGGGGACGCTAGGGAACCCCACATTTATAGTGCTGGGGTGAATCCAGGCCCTCTTGCATGCTAGGCAAATGCTTACCACTGCGCCACACACCCCCTGCCCTTTTCTCAGATTTTACTTTATTAATTTTTTGGTTCCTTTCAGGCAAGGTGTTGTCTGGCTAGCTTTGAACTCTTGATGATCCTCCTGCTTCAGCCTCCTGAGTAGTTGTGTCACTTGGCCTCATAAGGCCTTTTTGTGGGCTGTGGGCTTGATTTGTGGGCAGAACAGACTGGGTTTAATCCTAGCTGTTGCTTAACCAATCTCGTGGCCTTGGGAGGTAGAAGCTCACATTACTTATTCTGTTGCCACGTTGGGGCACAGGGCACAGCCGTTACCCAGCCTGGCCCGGCCCCTGGGGTAATGTGACAGGGCCTCGCAGATCTCTCCCACACCAGGACCCAAGCACCCTATAGGGCCGCAGCAGGAGTCCTGAGGCAGCCCCCACAGGCCAGGGCAGCAGCTGGCTGCCCAGCCCACGCTACCTTGAAGGCGATGGTCTCGTAGGGCTCGGCAGCCATCAGTAGGTACTGCCAGCGCCGGTCCGGGGGCTCAATCCTCTGCTCGTAGGCGGACATGAAGCGGTGGCGGGGCATGATGCCCTCGGCAATCTCAGGGTAGTCAATCTGGGGGGACACAGGCACTCAAGGGGTGCCCTGGGCCTCCCTGTACACCCAGACCTGGGCCTGGTCTCACCTGGAATAGGAGGCTCTGCTGGCCCATCTCAGTGTCCCTCTGCTTGGTCACTGCAACACAGAGGGTCACGTTCAGGGACTCATCTCCCCTGAAGCCAGGGGACCCTGCATGGTTTAACTGCCACCCACAGAATGGGAAAGTGCATTTGGGGAGGCCCCTAGGCCAGTGAGAAGGGAACCGGTGGCCCCTTGGATGCCCAAGTGGGCATGGCAGGTGGACAAGGTGGACAGGTCTCACTAGACAGGAAAGGGGCTTCCAGGAAAGGGGACGTGACCACCTGGTGACAGTGGTGGAGGATGAAGGTGAGGGAGACTTGAACTCCGAGGCCAGAGAACAGTGGCTGTGTGGCCTAGCTGGGGCTCAGGACGCACGGAAGTTCATCCGTGCGGCGGCAGCTGTGGGCTGATGTGCACGCGCACCTTTGTAGCCAGGGCGGCCGATCTTCACGAACTTCTTCACCTCCACCTTGACCTTCTCGGGCGCTGGTTGGGCGGGGGCCTCCTTGGCCTCCTTGGCCGCTCGCCGGGCTCTGTGGGGAGGACACACGTGGCACTGTGGCCTCCCCCATAGGACACCAAGGCCACAGGCCCAGGTGCCAGAGGCCAGCCTGACCTTGGAGCTAATCTGGGAGGTGAAGGACAAGGGCGGGGCTGGAAGGAAGCAGAACAGGGAACAGGACAGCGGACGTAAGGCCCCCGAAGCACCCTCTGTCACGGCCCAGGCGGGGCCGCCCTCAATGCCAGCAGGACAGGTGGTGGCTGCGGGTGTCGGGTGGGAGGTGAAACACTCACAGGTTGGTCTGGTGCTTCTTCCCCTGGGTGTGCGCCAGGTAGCTCCCCTGGGGAGGGAAAGAGGCGTCACCAGGGCCCAGGGAGCAGCGAGGCCCCTCCCCACGAGGGTTGCTCGTCTACACACAGGACCAGAGGCTGGGGCGGGCAGCGCCCGGCCTAGGGTGACGCATCAAGCTCTGGGGTTCTGTACGTGTGGGGCAGGGCGCACCCGTGAAAAGCTGCAGACACAGGAGCCGTGGAATGTGGGGGACCTGCTGGGGACAGCCGTGCAGCCACACCTGCTACCACGCTGACGAACACCCTCTGAGCCACACTTGGCATGGAGCGGGTGGAGGCAGGGGTGTTGCTCGGCGCCCTGCAGCACGCAGGCCGCCCCACAGAGCACGAGCGGACCCCAATGCGCGCAGCGGCCGGGCACCGGTGCACAGGAGCGATGGTTCAGGGGCAGGCGGCGTGCACACCCGGGACACCTGCTGGGCCAGCTAGGCTGATGCAGACGGCCAGCGGCGACGTGGCCCAGGGCAGAAGCTCGAGGAGCCACACACAGCTCCCTGAAGCTCGGGGGCGAGGAGAAAAGGCCTACTTGGGGCATCCCTGGCACCACACAACGTGACTGTCGCTGCTGGCAGGTGCTGCCCTTAGACGCTTAACTGGTGACAGTACCAATGACAGTGAGAGAAAGGAATGGAAAGTGGCCCAGCAGGCCCACCAGGGAGAGCCCTGGGGACGAGGTCTTGGGACCCAGGTGAGGAACAAGGGACTCGGCCGCACCGCACCCCTAGTGCTTCACGGAAACATGCCCTGAAGCAAGTGGGCCGCTGGTTGCCAGCAGAGGGCCCCAGGCAGACCCGCCCTGTCCTCTGAGTGACAGTGAAAAGGGCTAGAAGCCGGGGGCAGGGGCATGGTAGGGCCAGCGCCCGAGCAGAGCCTCAACATACCTCATTGTTGTGAAGTGTCAGGCAGAGCTTGCACTCGTAGGATCCCAGGTGATTTTTCATGAAATACGGGTCCTGGGAGGGAAAAAATTGTCCAGCAGACAGTGAAAAATCACTGCCCTGTGGTCAGGGCCCAGGGAAAGCCTTCCGAGGGCCACCTGAAGTAGGGGGAAACAGCCTGGGGACAACGGCAAGAGCCCCAAGGCACCCACCTTATTGATGTCGATGGTCTCCAGCGCCAGCTGTCGGAGCCGCTCCCTACGGTCCCGGTTGCTCTCGGAGGACGAGGCCACGCCCCCGCTGCCCGTCTTGCCCCCAGGGCGGTGTTGGAAGTCCATGGTGATGGCCTGGGGGCTTCACAGGGTGGCCAAGGGAGAAACTGCAGAGGTGAAAGGGACAGGGACGGCACAGGAGGTCATGGGTGCTGCCCGCCACTGTGGCCCACGGCAGCCAGGCGCCACAAGGATGCTGAGTTGGCTTTATTATTTTTATTTTTTATTTTTTTGTCTTTTTGAGACAGAGTCTCGCTATGCAGTGCAGGCTGGCCTTCAGCTCACTTTGTAGCCCAGGCTGGTCTTGAACTTGCGACAATCCTCCTGCCTCAGCCTCCCGAGTGCTGGGATTACAGGCGTGCGCCACCATGAGCCGGCTTTAGAGACACCTCCCAGTGACCATGGCGGAGGGAGTCACTTCAGCCCACAGAGTGCAGAGGTTGGGACCAGAAGCAGCAATGCGGTGCCAGGAGAGGCCCAGCTTGGGACAGCGAGGCCTGTCTTAAGCCTCCTCACCACCAGGAAGGCTGCCCAGACCGACTGCGCCCTGCTTCAGTCCTTCCTGAATTGCCTTTCTGGCTGGCTACATCCAACAATCACACTCACTGCAATTCTGTGGCTTGCTACAAGCTTGCCACGGGCCTGAGAGCTGTCTAGCTCCAGACCCTGCACGCAGGACGGTCTCATCAGCTGTTTGTAGTCAAGGCAGAGCTCGAAGAGCCTCCTCCACACCGCTGCAGACCGCCCCGGAGCCTCTCTCTTCTACCAGACTCAGTTAACCGACCCTCCAGGCGGCTTTCTGAGATCCCCCAACACCACCGTCCCTGAGCCCTTTGCCATCTGCCCAGGGCCCCTGCTTTAAACTCGGGATCAGCTCAGAGACAGAGCCCAGGAAGTGAGGCGAGTTATACTCCCCGAAAACACTGTCATGAAGAAAATGTCCCACTGCTCGGGAATAAGGGAGGGCAGAGGGGTAAAGGAAAGAAGGAACCAAAAAAAAAGAATAGAAAGAAAAAATGAAAACAGAGCTTCTGTAAATGAGGGAAAGAGGGATTGAAGGCAGGGAAGGAGAATGGGAAAAAAGGAATATATCACATACAGGTACAAATTCCCTATGATAAATGTGATCACTATGTGTATCTAAAATATACCAATAAAATAAAAAATAAAACAAATCAAATCCCTGTTGCCCTTCCCAAACCTATAGTATCATTTTTTAATTTTTTTTTTTTTTTTTTTTGAGACAGGATCTTGCTATCCAGTTCAGGCTGGCCTTGAGCTCACTTTGTAGTCCAGGCTGGTCTCGAACTCGCTACAGACGTGCTATAGTTATCACTTTATCAGCTATAGTTATCATTTTATACAAAGTCGCTGAATTGCCCGGGTTGGGCTGGAATTTTCAACCCTCCTGCCTCAGCCTCCCGAGTGCTGGGATTACAGACGTGCTATAGTTATCACTTTATCAGCTATAGTTATCATTTTATACAGCAGAAAGGACTTTGCAAATGGCTGGAGTTTTTGCTTTGCTTTTTAATTTTTTTTGGAGGAGTACTGGGAATTGTACTCAGGACCTTGTCCTTGCCAGGCATGTGCTGCACTGCTGAGCTCTATCCCCAGCCCCACGTTTGTTTGTTTTTTTGAGATAGGGTCTTGCTATGTAGTCCAGGCTGGCCTCGAACCCAGTGATGCTCCTGCTTCAGCCTCCAGAGTGCTGGGATTACAGGCATGAACCACCACCACGCCCAGCAGGACTTTGCAAATAGGATAACAGAGCTTGACAGGGTGAATCATCCTGGATCAGTCAGGGCCGTGTCATTACAGAATCCAAGTCAGAGAGACAGACAGACTGACTGGAAGATGCTGTGTGGCTGGCTCTGAAGAAGGAAGGGGCTGCACCCTTAGGAGCTGCAAAAGGCAGCGTAGCTTCTGCCCTGGAGCCTGTAGGAAGAACCAGCCCATTATACATGCAGCCAGAATGCAACCAGTGGGGGTAAACAGGTGGCCTATGACAGTCACAGAGAGTGCAGGGGCTCCAGCTATCCACAGTGGCTCTGCCCTACAGGGCTGCAGAGCAGTCACTCCAAGCAGAGCAGGAGGGTGGGAAATCAATTTGTTTAAACCTGGGGAAAATACAATGGCAAGCACAGGAGATGTTAAGAGATTTAGAGGGAAAAAAAAACAAACAACAAAGATCCAAAAAAAACACAACTGATGATAAAAATGAAGTTAACTGATTTTGGAGGAAACGGTATGGCATCAGAAAAGTGCCTGAAGCCAGGTATGGTGGCACACACCGGTAGCCCCAGCACTCAGGAGGCTGAGGCAGGAGGATTTCCACGAGTTCAAGGCCAGCCTGAGCTACATGCGCTTGAGGCCAGCCTGAACTACAAAGCGAGACGGTCTCAAAGGAAAGAAGGCAAAAGAAGAAAAGAAAGAAAAGCAGCCTGGTTAAACACATTACTTGTTTTGGCACTGAACAGTACTTTGAACCTTAGAAAAGGTAAGCGAGGCCTGGGGATTTAGCTCAGCAGGACAGCGCCTGCCTGGCAAGCGCAAGGTCGTCAGTTCGATTCCCGATACCGGAAAACAAAACAAAACAAAACAAACCCCCCAAAAACAAAAAACATAAGCGAGAACGTGATGGACTTGGAGGGAGGGCGCGTGGGTGGGAGACAGGAGACCTCATCCACCACAATAGGGTATCAGCAGGTGACACCCGAAAATGGGTACACCTAGAAATAAAAGTTATAATCCTAGCATGGTGGTACACACCTGTCATCCTAGGCAAATTTGACACCAGCCTGGGCACCTTAGTGAGACCCTGTCTCAAAAGTGTTGGGGTGTAAAGGTCGTGGGTTCAATTCCAGCACTACCACAAAAAAGATACGCGGGAGTGGAAATTGCAAAGTAAAGACCAGCGGAGGGGCTGGGGTTTTAGCTCAGCGGCACAGCGCCTGCCTGGCAAGCGCGAGGTCGTGAGTTCGATTCCCGGTACCGGAAAAAAAAAAACCAAAAACCAAAAAAAAGACCAGTGGAACACTTTTCAAGAATCGAGGAGCTGACCTCTGGGGCCTCGGTCTGCGGTTGAATTATTCTTCCGCAATGGGGAACCGACATCTTCAGCCCTTTTTGTTTTTCGTTTTGAAACAGTCTCAAGAAGTTGCCGAGGCTGGGCTCGAACTCGTGATCGTCCTGCCTCAGCCTCGCAGAAAGCAACGAGAGGACCCCCTGCCTGTCCCATTCTGCGACGCCCCCCACACGCTTACACGGCGGGGCCACCTCACCTAACGGAGCAGGGTCGCCTTCGGAGCGGGGCGGACGCCGGGGCCCCCGACTTACGGGTAAAGGACCCGCCACGACCAAAGCCAGATCAGCAGCGCAGTCTTCAAGGGAGGCCCGGAGGACAAAGCAGCCGCGATCCGGACGCGCCCTTTCGGAGTTCCGGGGCGCGCCGCCTGCGCGCGAAACCCACCCCATGCTCCTCGACCTCACGCCCGCCCTTCTCCAGTAAGACCCGGGGCGCGGCGCCGCTTGGCCCGCGCCACTTCTTACCTAGGCCGGAGGCAGCCCAGTCGACAGACAACCGCCAAGACTTCACTGTGCGCACGCGCGCTAAGGGCTTAGAAACTACTTCCGGGTGAATGTAGCAGGGTCTCACGTGTGCGCATGCCCAACCCGCCCACTAAACCGGATGGACACTCGAGCGGCGGGAGGGAAAAGGCATAGGGTCGGAAGTACGACCGGACAGTGAGGTGCGCGTGCGCACAACTCAATCAACTAAATCTTTTTTTTTTTTTTTTTTCCTTTTTGAGACAGGGTCTCGCTATGCAGTTCAGGCTGGCCTTGAGCGCAATTTGTAGCCCAGGCTGGTCTCGAACTCGCAACTCTCAATCCTCCTGCCTCAGCCTCCCGAGTGCTGGGATTACAGGCGTGCGCCCCCACGCCCAGCTCTCTCAACTAAATCTCGGTGAACTCCAGGTCGCACGGGGCTGGCTGTGGCGTGAGGGCGGACTGAGCCTCTTTAATAAAAGTTACTGCTCCCTCAACTGCTCTTGTCTATGCAGGGAAGGGGCCAGGAAACTTGAGGCTTGGCAGAAACAAAGAGAGAAGGTCCATCTGTCGCGCGGGTGCTGTGAATCTGTCCCCACTCCAAATTCAGTGTTTTTCATGGTTATATAAAGACTCCGACTCCCGCACTAGATCGTGCACTGTCCCGCGCTCCCGCCGCACGCTCTCGCCACCCAGCGGTGGCAGTTGGGAACGGACGACCCACAACGCGCAAGCGCAATAGCCCTGACGGTGCTTCCGGATTGGTGCCCTGAATCCTCTGTGGCGGGGGCCGAGGGGGAAGCGGGGACGGTGGCCGGGCAGGAGGGCGCGGCGAATCATTTCGCGTTTTCTTTCCCTGGTCCCCGCAGCTGCTACTATGCGGTACAACGAGAAGGAGCTGCGGGCCCTGTCCCAGCAGCCGGCCGAAATGGCGGCTGAGTTGAGCATGCGAGGACCCAAGAAAGGCAGCGGTGAGCGGTTGCGGACCGGGGACTGGGTCGGGACGGTGGGGGGGTTCCCTGGCCGCGCTGAGCCCCGCCCTGTGCCCGCAGTGGCCAAGCGGCGGCTGGTGAAGCTGGTGGTCAACTTCCTGTTCTACTTCCGCACCGACGAGGCCGAGGTAGGGGCGTTGGGGCCGCGGGGGGCCCGCGCGGGCGGGCGGCCCGCGCTCACCGCCGTGTCTCGCGCAGCCCCTCGGAGCCCTGCTTCTGGAGCGCTGCAGAGTCGCGCAGGAAGAGCCCGGCGGCTTCTCTATCAGTGAGTGAGCCGACCCCTGCCCGGCCGGGCTGCTCCCTCCCTGGACACAAGAGCCCTTTTGATGGTCCTCACGAGCCCAAGGTCGGGTCCTGGCCGCCCGCCTCGCGCACCTGCCAAGCCAGCTCTGGCTGGGCTCCTGCCCGAGCCTCCCCAGCCAGCCCTGGCCTCTCCTCCTGCGGGCCCACGGCCAGCCCCGCCCAGCTGCTACTCCAGCTGCAGCCCCAAAGTGCCACTGGAACCTTCTCCTTGGTTGTTTCTCCCTTCCTTGTTTGTTGGCCAAATGCTGGATACCTGGGAGGGAGGGATGGATCTGCCGCTTACCTTTAGGAGATTCAAGTCTGCAGGGCAAGATAGACCCTGTGTCTGTCTCTTGGGGCTGTCATTACAGTGTCTCAGACTTGTTGACTTTTTTTTATTTTTTGAGACAGGGTCTCGCTATGCAGTTCAAGCTGGCCTTGAGCTCACTTTGTAGCCCAGGCTGGTCTCGAACTCGAAACGATCCTCCTGCCTCAGCCTCCCAAGTGCTGGGATTACAGGCGTGCAGCACCCCCGGCTGACTTGGTGACTTAAATACCAAGAGCAGTCTCTGTACGGGTCTGAGGGCAGCAGTCTGAGGTCTGAACCAGGTTGGTTCTTTCTTGGGCTGTGACCACTGGTCTCAGGCCTCTTCCCAGCCATCTTGGGGTTCTTGGAGCTTTAGCAGCTTGCTTCTGGAGCAGGCTCAGCGCAGCCAGGGGACCCCCCCCCCCACCGTTCTGACCCAGCTTTAGCAGCATTATCATTGCGTTCTGTCTTCGTGAAGACAGCCATTATTGGATTTAGGGTCCTTTTTTTTTCCCTCAATACTGGGGATTTGACTCAGGACCTTTACAAAGACCCTGTTCCAAACAGGGTCATGACAGAATGCAATGAAATCTTCGTGGGGCCATGCTGGGGGCCAGTTTGGGCCCTAGTAAGAGGAAGCTCAGGTTTGTGGCTGGCAGGGTGTGGAGCAAGTGGGGACCGACCAGAGGCGGCTCCGTCCCTTGTTCCCTCTGCAGGCTTCATCGAGGACCCAGAAAGGAAGTATTACTTTGAGTGCTGCACCCAGGAGCAATGTCAGGAGTGGATGGAGGCTCTGCGTCAGGCCAGGTGGGGCTTGGGGACAGCTGTGACACCCTGGGCACCACGGCCACGAAGGGTTGCAACTTGGAATTTGATCAAGCAGGTGCTCCTCTCTTTCTCAGCTATGAGTACATGCGGAGAAGCCTCATCTTCTACAGGAATGAGATCCAGAAGATGACAGGCAAGGTGTGTGCAGGGTTGGAGGGGGCAGGGCTGTGCTCCTGGGCCCGTGGCTCATGGCTACCCCACCCTGTCCCCTTGCGTAGGATCCCTTGGAGCAGTATGGCATATCAGAGGAGGCCAGGTTCCAGCTGAGCAACAAGCCAAGGGACGGGCGGGCAGCTTTTGTCGGTGCTCGGCTGGATGAGCTAGACTAAACCTCTGCTAGACCCTGTCGTGGGTTCCCTGGCCACGCCTGGGCCTGCCCTGGGGGTGTTTGGGCTCAAAGTCTGAGGCTGGGCAGGGGTGCACAGGGGCTGCATTTTTGGAGAAAACCAGTAAGTGCCCCTTCCCTGTGCCTTGAGACCCACCAGAGGGTTCTGGCGCCAGGGTGCCACAGTCTGCTGCTACACCAAGTGCCCCTCCATGTGCCCACTGAGAGCTGGGTGTGTACCTGGCTGGCAAGGCCCTCTGGTCCTGCACCAGCGGAATGTATGAAGCTAAGGGAAGCTGTGAATGGTGAGGGTCTCCCTCTGCCAGCTGTGAACTCTGCCCCTGCTGACGGGGATGGGGTGGCCCTGGCCCTGGGTCACTGCACTCACTCTGTTCAATAAAGGTACCTCTTTTTCAAACTGGGTGATGGCAAAGTGGATGGAGAAGATGGGGGCCCTGGCAGCTGGAGCCCTTTCCTCAGGACAGTGGTCCCCACCAGGGCAGAGTGGAGGGGACTCCTGGGTGACCCAGGGCCCCAATTCAGCTGGCTTTGAGAAATTGGGGTGGGGGTCTTCTTTCCTCAGCCAGCAGCTGCTGGGCGCTCCCTCTGCCCTGGGGATGAGAGTCCCTGCTCTGGAAAGTACACACGTTGCCCCGATGTGTTACCAGGAAAAAAGCTGCATTGAGACCAGGTCCAAGTGAAAACTGCTTTATTACAGCGCCTAGGGGTGGAAACAGTGCAGTGGGCGCTCTGGGTGGGGTACAGAGTTCATTACAGACACAAAGTGGAGCCGGTGGGGGCCGGGAGGGGGGCACGTGAGGCGAGCCGTGAGTGGATGGACCATTTCACCAGGAGGAGGGGAGCAGGGCCACGTGTTCTGTGGGTGGATAAATACGGGAGCGGATAAGTCTTAAATAAGTTGTCGTTCGTGGGGCTCACAAAGGATGGGAAGCCTGGTTCCTGGTGACCAGGGGGTCAGCAAGGTCCCAAGAGGGTGGGCTGTTCAGTCCTTAAGGTTTCCTGACGGATTCCTGAGCAAGAGCTGCATGGCAGCCTCCCAGGAGTTGTCCCAGGGCCAGGGCAGCACCGGGTCCCCAAGCTGGGGTAGCCCAGGACAGTGAAGCCACTGCCAGCACCAGATTCCAGGATGGCCTCGTGCCACTGCCCTGCCCACCTCTGGGTGACGCGGCTCAGCAGATCTGGGTGAGACCTGGTGCGGGCCAGGCTCGGAGCGGAGGAGGGGAGGCGCCGCACACGGTTAGCTTACTGTGGGGCACACTTATGTCCCGTGGGCTCAGGAGGGGACTTGCACCCATGCTAGATGTGCCAAAACCCAGCAGTGGCTGCACTGTGGGCGTGTGCCCCTAATGTGGGGTAGTGAGTCTCCCAACACTCAAGTATGTGTGTAGATATTCACGGGGCAGGGCCATTTGAATGTGGCCTGCGCTGCCCCAAGCTGGCGCCGGCCATTGGGCTGGTCGGCAGAAACATACAGTGTTAGTTTAGAGAATGTGATCCGAGACCAGGGACCTGCTGCCTGCTGTTTGCTCCTGTCACCTAGGGCGCTGTGTGGTAAGAGGTGACCCTTGGCCCCCACATGCCAAGCAGGGCGCTGCCCCATGCTGAGGGCTGGGGCGGGGTCCATGGGAATGAGGCACAGCACCTAGAGGCCAGGCTGAAAGCACCAACTTGGGGGAGGGGTCCCCAGCACCATCTTTAGAACTCACTGCTAGGTGGGGAGAAGCAGGGGACCAGACCAGACGGCCAGGCCAGTGGGAAACCCAATGCTCCGGCCTCCCCGATGGAACCAGAACAGGCTCGGCAAGCCCTGGCCAAGGCCACAGCCAGCATACGCATGCCAGCACCCCAAGGCTGCTGGAGTCGGGGAGACACCAGGAGCACCCACAGCAGCCGAGAGAACCTGCAAGGACACAGTGACAGGCAGGACCCTGGCTGCAAGTGCGGGACACACGCTCCTTCAGGGTGTGGGGCGAGGGCCAGCCCGGGGCCAGTGCCATGTTTGTGCATTCGAATAAATAAGGTTTCTATTCCCCTTGCTTTTCTTTCTTTTTAAGCTCACTGTGCATTATAGTCTAAAAATAAATGCAGTCAAGTCTATGAAATTTATAAATTTTCATCACATCTCTATAAAATACTGTCACATGTCAGCGTGACACTCTCCTATACATAAATATCAGGGCCGGCTGCAGGCCTACCCCATGTCACCCAGCCGGCCTGCCCCAGCCAAAAAGCAATGGAATACAAAAGTAACTGCACTTGTTACACGCGCCACTGCGCCGCCGGGGTCAAGCGCGAGCCTCCTCGAGCACCACTCAGAACAGCTTTGTGCTGCACAGGCCCCTTCTCACCACTGCTGGCCCACGCACGAGCCATGAGAAGGGCCCTCCAAGCAGCACCCACACGCCAACCCCGACGCCACAGGCAGGACCCTCAGCCAGCGATTCACAGTTGGACTGGCAGTGACGGCGCGGCGGCCGGTGGGCCCAGGCAGGAGCAGCGGCTCTAGAGGAGTGGCGCACTGGCCACTGGGAACAGGGCCTTCTCCGAGGGACTTTCTGACAGCCCTGCCAAGGGCTGGCACCTCTGCAGGGCACGGACAGGTGTCCGAGTACTGGCTTTGGCGTTGGTCAGCATCCGGGGCAGCACCATGAGGCGGAGGCAGGCGCGGGCCTGGCGGCCGTAGCACCGGGTTTGCGGTGGTGGGCGGCTCGGTGGGGCCCGCCCTGCGGCCCGAGTCTTTATATATAAAGTTCTCTCTTACATAGACATTTATACTTCTCAATAGGTTGCCTCTGACAACTCAGGTGGAATAAAATAAGTCAGAATTGTTTATACTTTTTAAAAAACGATAAATACTTTATCTAAAACTATTGACAGTACAGACTGGACCAGTCCCAGCACCTCCTGTGGTGTGCTGCCGATTCACAGTGGAGCTCCTCATCCTGCCCGTCTCCGCCGTCTGTCTGTCCTTCCTTCTGGGGTGGGAGCCTGGCAGCGCAAGCACCGAGCAGCAGGTGCTTGGTCCACACCGCCCTTGCATAGGTCGCGCAGGTGAGGTAGAAATCCTAGTTACCTGTGGGGACAGTGGTGAGAATGGCCTGTCAGCAGCGTGCACGGCGCAGCCCAGCACAGCCCGGGGGCTGGGACAGAGGTCTCCTGTGAACACACCCAGCGTAAAGCCACCTGCCTCTGCTGGCCAGGAAGGCAGGCCAGAGGCAGGTACTCCTGTGGGCAAACAGGGTGCTGGGCAACCAACTGCTCCCGCAGCAGACCCTGGCATTCCTCCAGCTCTACCGTGTGCCAAGGGGACACAGGATCGGGCTGCACCCACCCTACCTCTAGCACTTCTCAGGACAGAGCTCAGCCTGTTCCCCAGCCCCGGGCACTGACAGTCTCACTAGGAGTGCGTCATCACTCCATGGGCTGCCTCCGCGTCCTTGTGCACCGAGGGCAGGGCAGACCGTTAGCTCTGGTGGACACCCCTCAACTCCTCACCCAGCAGCACACCCTCGCCACACCATACACCAGCCTCCTTGGGTGACGGGGCTGGCTGCCTTGGGGTTTGTTTTTGTTTTGCAGTACCTGAGATGCAGCCCAGGGCCTTCAAACTGAGCCACATCCCTAGCCATTTTTATTTTGAGATGGTCTTGCTAAGTTGCCCAGGCTGAGTTCCAACTTACAGTCCTGCATCGCCACACCTGGTTATGGTCTTGGGTTTTAAAGCCCCAAGGCCCAGCCCTCTCTGACCAGGAGAAGACAGGGACCTCCTGGGGGCCATGAGGCCACCCGTGAACGCTTTCTTCCACTTCTACTGCATGGCAGGCTCCAAGCGGTAGGGTAGCGGCCATGTTCCCTGGGGGGGGGTGGGGGGAGCCAGCACACACCTCCCCCCCCACACAGCCTGGGCCCGGCCCATCCAGGGCACAGAGCTCACACAGGCAGTCTGAGGGGCCTCATCTAGAGGTGAAAGGCCACCCCATCTTTGGACCTTGCTGTATGCCAGGGCCTCATGGGCCTTGGACTCTCCTAATACCCCATGGGCGACTCTGCAGCTCTGAGCGGGCAGCCTGGAGCAGTCCCTCCACGGCTGTGCCCACTATCTCCCAGGTGCCCTTTCCCAGGCTGGCGGGAAGAGCCAGGAGGGCATTGGCCCTGACCCTCCGCACTGGGGCTCTGCCCATAGCACCTCCTGCAGCTGCCCCACACCCAGGGGCCCCCTGCTCTGTGGACGGGGGCTACACAGCCTGTGACCATGAGGACAGGGCAGCCAGGGTCCTGACACACCTACCAAGTTCCCGGCAGGCCCTGTTCACATGACAGCGGCCTTCGTACCCCATCTCAGGTTGACCAGCCCCATCCTTCTGGCCACCACAGAGCAGAGGCCTGGCCCCAGGCCCCTGCAGGCCCTTCTCTGCGCAGAGCGGAATGGTTTGGTTTGGGAGCAAACCACCTTGTTTGGCTCTAGCCTTACCTTACAAAATACGAACTGCTAGCTAAGCAAGCTCTTTATCGGGGCTTAACCCCCGAAAGGTGCGCGGCATAAGGAGGCGGCATGCCAAGGGAAACCCACACAGCAGACGGCCCTGTGGCGCTGGCTTGTGGGACGGCGGGCGCAGCCTGCGCCAGGGCCAGCCGGGACAGGGGCTGGTGGTGCACCGTGAAGGAAGGGCGGGAGGCCTTGTGCGGGAGGGAGGCTAGCTTGACAGACAGAGAGGCGTTAGCAGGCTGTAGAGAGGCGGCAGAAGAAAGGGGTAAAAAAGCTTTGTTAGCTGGGATGGACGCTAGGTTCTGCAGAAGCACAGGCTCAGGGTTAGAGGCCAGCAGCGCAGGGGGAGGAGCCAAGGTGACATTAGGCGGAGGGGGCGCGTGGAGGATGCCCAGGTGCTGAGGAGGAAGCGGGGGAGGCGGAGGGGGCGGCCGCGTCTCGGCCGAGGCCGGGGCCTGAAAGGAAGAGGCCGAGGTGCTGGCCGCCGCCTGCAGTGGGCCCAGGCCCAGCGTGGCGCTGCTGCACACAGCCCCGCTGCCGACACTGGCTCCAAACGGGCGAGCAGAGGCGGAAGGCACCGCGTGGTTAGAGACACCTGCAACGGGAGAGAAAACTCAGCTTCAACAGGCGGGCATGGTCTGCACAGCCAAGAGAAGCACAGGCGCAGCTGTGAGCGAGGCAGAAGCAGCAAGCCGCAGCTCCAGGTCGCAGGTGGCACAAGCGGCAAGCAGCAGACACAGCAGTGGACACTTACCTGTGGCCAGGCCAGGCCCTGCCCCTCTGGGCCCACCTGCCCGCCCGCGCCCAGCCAGGACTGCTCGCCCCTGCTGTCTGCTGAGCTGGGGTGGCCGCCCTGAGAAAGGACTGCCCTAGCTATGTGCACTGAGGTCTTCTGAAAACAAGAAGGATGCGTTACGGCGGGAACCCAACGTGGGGTGGCCAGCTCCAGCCACACAGGAGCCCTGGTCTGCAGCACAGGGCTCTGCCTGCAGAAAGGACCCACAAGGCAGCCCATGATAAAACCAGCGCTCCTAGGAGGAGGCGCAGCCTGCTGGGAAGCAGAGCCCTGCCCTGGGGAAGCCAGGCTCAAGAAGACCCGCCTTGCTTACCTCCAACGGTTCCGCCAGCCACCCCAGAGGGGAAGCTGCCCATCGCGTGTGAGTTGGTCAGGCGGGTGGCAGCAGATGATACATGCACCAGGCCAGCGGCAGCCGGCACAGAGCTGAAAAGGGACTGCAGCACGGAAGAGCCGGCTACTGCACCCAGGTTGGCTTGCAGGGACACTGGGCCGAGGGAGAACTGCGGTCCAGGGGTGAAGGCGCCCAGGAAGGGGCGGTGTGCCTGGGCTGATGGGGCTGCACTGCTTGCAGAAGACACTGCTGGGGTGAGGCTGGGGCCACCCAGGAGGCCCCCGGGGGGCACAGCAGCCGCAGAGATGAAGAGGTTGTGGCCATTCTTGAAGTCGAGCTCTCGGTCCCGGGCCTTGCTGGCCCTGCTGCCATGTGGCAGGGCAGTCTTGTCTGTGGGCCCACAAAGGGGCAGGCCTGGCTCGCCTGGCTCCTTGCCTGGGCCACCTTCACCTTTCAGGCCTCCTAGGCCCTCCAGCTGCCTCTTATTCAGGAAGGGGTTGGCTTCTGGGGGGCCCTCCTTGCCCCGCTGTGAGGGGAAGCTCAGTGGGGCACTCAGGCCAGCTGCCTCGGGGCCCTTGTGGGCAAGGGAAGCACCATCGTTGAAGCCATGTAAACTGAGGTCCGCAGCCAGGCCTCCACTGAAGGTCAGGCCATTGGGAGGGTTGGCACCAGGGCTGAGCCCATCGGTGCCCGACAGCGCCCCAGAAAAGCTTTTCCTAGGGTGGGTGGTGAGCTTGGTGTCGACTGCTGTGGGCTCCTCCAGGGCCGGCCGGAATGAGAACAAGGAGTTCTGGCCCAGGGCAGAGCTGGCCTGCAGAGGGCTGTCCGCGGACTTGGCCAGGCTGATGTCGGAGATGGGTGAGAAGGTGGACTTCCACTTGCTGCTGTTAACTGGCTCACTTGAGGGTGTCGGCTTCCTTCCCGCCAAGCTGCCACCTGACAGGGATTTAAAGCAGAGGCCATGAGGCCACTGTGCCTGCTGCTAAATACAGGACACTTGGACCAGGCACACTCAACACGAATGTGGCAGCTACCAGGACAGGATGAAGGCAGGCAGCGTACAGGATCTGTGAGCGGAGGGAGGAGCTGTCCCAGCACAGAGGCTCTGAGGCCCAACCCACAGGACACCACAGCCTTGGGCCACGCAGAAGCCAGGGGTGTCAAGCCCAGGATACGCCTTTCTGGGGAGGCAGGCAGGCACGAGAAAGAGTGGTCCGACTCAGCCAGGAATGAGGTGGAACCCAAAAGGTCACTGCACAGCCTGATCTCACACTGCACCCCAGGAACAGCTGTTCACAGAGCCACCAAGACCATCTGGGGGGCCTGGCCCATGTCACCAGGCCTGGGCTCAGGTAAGGGCAACAGCAGGCAGCACCTGCCACTCACCATTTTCCAAGGTTTTCGGGGGAGATCTGCTTTCCAAGGAAATGGTTGCAATTTTTCTCTCAATTCTGTGAAGGGAAAGAAAAAAACTGTCCTTCAAGTCTGAAATCCAACTAGAAGGCTACAGAGTAGTCAGGCCTGGGAACACTCAACAGCTTGGGGAGAGGACAGACATACAGCTGACCCTCAAGACCCTCATGAGATCCCGGGAGGGGCCACCCTGGCACACACTCCAGACCCTCTGCCAGGAACCGGGCCCTGGCAGGTACACATGGGTGTGGTTTCTCAACCCATGGAGAAACATGACGGTCCAGAGCAGAGCAGCCTCTGCTTCAGCGTTCTGACCAGAGGGCCTGGTGCAGCGCAGTGTTCGCCATCTCTGACATACACACCTCAGTGACCACCACCCACCCGCAACTGCAGGAGAATTCCCACAGGCCAGGCACCCCTCGGGCAGGTGTTCCCAGCACCCAATCAAAATGCCCCAGGGCACACTTTACAGAATCCATGTCTGTAAAGGGAGAGGAGCAAAAGCAAGTAACTCAGGAGGCCCAAGGCACAAACAGCAAGGGAAAAACCAGACCCAAAGGGCTTCATCCACTAGAAGGGGCCCAGCACAGTAGGGGGCACACGCAGAAGGCAGCTAAGACTTGCAGGTCACGTCCGACAGGAGCTTGCGTCCCGGCGTGTGAAAAATGCTCACAACGACTGGGTGCAAAGCAAGCAGCGCACAGAAAGAACGCAGCCGCTGTACAGACAGGGACAGATGTTCACAGCAGCCACCCAAAGAGCCACTGTGTACATGTGGGGGCACCAGACAGGCGGACACAGGACAAGGAAAGGGGAAAGGCAAGCTAGCAGAAGAGCAGAGCCTCAAGGGCACAGCGCCTGTGGGAGTGAACCACAGCACAGCCGCAGGAGTCTTGGTGGGACGTGCACTGACGACTCCCCACAAGGAGGATCCTGCAGGGACCCTGCAATCCCACACAGGGCAGTGAGCAGAAAGAAATGGGATTTGTAAACGAAGACCTGCACACAAATGCTCACAGTGACACGGTTCACTAGAAAGTAAAAACAGAAACAACCCAAGTGCAGGGAAGGACGACGAACGGATACACACAGCAAGCGCCACCCCATGCCGCGACACCACTTTGCCAGGAAGAGGAACGAGGCTGTGACACTCGCCATAGCACAGACAGACCTTGAGGGTGCTGTGCTCAGTAAGAGACGCCAGACACAGAGGACGCACAGCATGGGCTCCTCTGTGGAAATGCCCAGGACAGGCGAGCCCCGAGACAGGAAGTGGACTCGTGGGTGCCAGGGAACATATTAAACAATTCTTCATGAGCAGACACAGCGGGAGAGGTGTGCTGATACAAGTCTGAAACTCCTTTTTTTATGAGATGGGGTTTGGCCTTGAACTCCTACACTCAGTGACCCTCTCGCCTTGGGCGGGTGACTCTCAGCCGGGTTCTCAGGCTCCGTTTCTTCCCTTTCTTGCTGGGGCCCAGACCCCTGCCCTGCCGGCTCGCACCCAGACCCTCCTGAGCCTCAGGAAACAGTGCTGGACCAGCTGGCGGGCTGCCAGACTCAGGCCCCAAGCACACGCAAGGGGTGGCCGGGCAGTGCTCAGCCCAGGCGTTGGATGGAAGCTCTGTGCCTGGCTGTTCAGGAGCCCTCTCAGACTGGCACCGGTCAGCAGCACCTGTCCCTCCCTGCCACGTGAACCCAGACAGGCCACGACCTGACGGAGGCCTCCCGCCCACCCGCTCGCTCACCGGGCACTGCTGGGCTCGTCTTCAGAGCCCGGCTCCTCATCTGAGGTCAGCGGGGAGTAGTGCGCCCCATTGGTCTGGCCCAGGGGCCGCTCCTTTTTCAGCACGGGGGGCTGGTCATGGTCCTGGTAGGGGATGGGAGAGCTCTTCAGGGAGTTCTCTGGGGACGAGATGGCCGTGATCTCCAGCGGCTGGTTGATGTTACTGACCTGAGGGGGCAGAGGCGGCAGATGCACTCAAAGACCAATCCTGGATACAGGGACCCCAAAGCAAGACACCAAAGGGCTTTGCACGCTTTCTGACCCCTGGTACCCCCCTAGCAGCTGGAGCCTGGCCAGAAGCTGGTGGGGTGCTGTTGTCAGCATGGCTATGGTCACTGTCACTGTCCAGGCACCATGTCCCCACCTGTTCTAGCCTCCCTCAGTTACACAGACTCGGGCCTACCTGAGCCTGAGCCTGGCCAGCCAGGCTGGGCCTCCCAGATACCCCAGGGTACTGCCCCTTGGGCCCTGCAGCACCAGCCCATCCTTACCATGGAGCTGAGGTTGAGAGGGGACCCTGAGGACTGGGTGAAGAGACCGGCGACAGTGGGCAGGGCTCGCCGCTTGGGAGACACGCCTGTGCTTAGACTGGGGGTCCCAGCTGACATGCGCTTCCTCCGGCCACGCTTGCGGCTGTCCTGCCCATGGCTGGACCCACAGTCCCCACGGGCACCTGGGGCCAGGGGACTGTGCTTGGTGGAGGGTGACTGCTTGGCACCGCCTGCACCAGCAGAGATGGTGAACACGATTCTCCTCTTGGCATCGCTCTCTGGGTCTGAGAAGCTGGGATCGGTGGGTAGGTCACCCTTGCCTGTGTCGGGGAGCAGGCCCTGGGCGGCCCCCACAAGCCGGGGACTGGCAGAAAGCTGGTGGGCAGGAGAGGCAGGTCCCGAGTTCCGAGGCTGTGCCAGCAGAGGTGGGTGCTGTGGGGTAGCGCTTCGTGACCCCACAGTGGCGAAGAGGCTCCCTGAGCCAGAGCACTCGTCAAAGGCAGCTGGCTCAGCTCCAGGCACCAGGGGTGCCGGGCTGCCAGCCAGGGCCCCGCTGATGGCCACGGAGCCAGCATAGGAGAAGCCTGCAGAAAGGATACGGGGGTCTCAGGGAGTGGCAGGGGATGAAGGGATGCTGAATCCCAGCTTAGGAGGGCCCGGGAGAATGTAAGGGAAGATGGACCTAGGAAATGGCCTCCGGCATGGTCCTGGTGGATGCTGGGGCAATCTTCAACATAGAAGGAAGGTGCTGGGCCACCTGGGACCCCTTGGAAGAAAGGACAGGGACCTGCCCTATGTCACCTAGCCCTGGGACCTGCCGCCAATGACAAGCTGGCCTTCAGCCCTGACTGCCAGAGCCCCGGCCTTCAATAGTCACTCCTCCTGGCCATCAGAGTGGCCTGTGCCTTCGTCTCAGTGAGACGCCGCCTCTGGAGCTGCTTCTGGGCAGGCCCTGGTTCAGGCCTCACCCAAGCCACAGAGGACAGACATGCCTGCACAGGGGTTGGGACTACAGCCAGAGGAGTAGGAAGCTCCAGCCAGCCATATGCAGCCACAATGCATCGTGCGACAGGAGGCGGTGGCTGAAGGCCGAGCCTGTCCACGGCAGTGACCCACCCACTGCTGGCCCTTTCAGGCACCCCAAACCAAGAAGCTTCCAAAGCCCAGGATAAAACATCCTCCTGCCTGACTCACTCAAAGCCTCACCCCAGCAGCTAGAGAACAGCCCCGGGTGGCAGGTGCTGCGCAGAACGGAGCCATCTGGCTTCCAAGGTGTCCCCAGCAACATCATGACCGCAGCCAGGCCCTTCTCCAAGTGCCAGGCGGGAGGATGGGAGGCTGTGTGGGAGACCCTAAGCAGGATCTGCACTTGATGGTTGCCTTCTGCACATTATCTGCCATTCCTGGAAAAGCAGCTGCCAGGGCTGGCAACAACCACCCAAGGGGTGGCCCATCATCGCTTCAATAAATATATCTGTACTGAAGTGAAGTCTTACCCCATCATTCACATGTAGTCTCTGGATGTTTTTTCTTCTTTTTGACACACTGTTTCCCTATGCAGTTCAGACTGGCCTTGAGCTCACTTTGTAGCCCAGGCTGGTCTCAAACTCGAAACAATCCTCCTGCCTCAGCCTCCTGTGTGTTCGGATTACAGGCATGCACCACCAAACCCAGGAGGATGCTTTGAATTATAACAAAACCCAAGTGAGGCAGCTCCCTGGCCATCGCAGGAGGGCTTCTGAGGCCTATGTCATCACAATAGACCTGTTGAGAGCAGAGTCCCGCTGAACACCAGGTAGCCCCGACACCCACAGGGGTTTACTGAGCTACTTCCCACACCCTAGCAAACCCCTACTTTCTGGACAACCCACTTTCAGGTCTCCTCCTATCTCTCAGTAAATTTTCCTACTCTTAAAAAAAAAAAAACCTAGCTGGGTGTGGTCGCTCATGGTACTTGGCAGACTGAAGTAAGAGAGTTGATGAGAGTTCAAGACAGTCTGAACTACATAGCAAGATCCTGTCTCACAAAAACAAAAAACAAAAACCAAACACAACAACAAAAAAAGAAACCCCCATGTTCTGGCAAGGAAGGTGACAAGGACAGCAGCTGACAGGCACAGCGGCTATGTTACCCAGAAAAAAAATCTAGCCAGAGGCTGCTCATTTACAAAGCCTCCCAGGGTTCAGCATGCTGCCAACCCCGGCTCAGACTGTGCTGCCAGGGCACAACCAATACGACCTCGACCAGCAGCCCTGGAGCCTGCAGACCTTGCTCTGAGATCCCCATCCATTCTGGCCTTTATCGAACTCATGACCTCGAGCTTGCCAGGCAAGCACTGTGCCGCTGAGCTATATTCCTGGCCCATGGCTTTTTTCAAAAACAGTACTAAAAACAGGACTTGGATGCTCTACTGAGTTATACTAATCCTGGCATTTTTTTCCTCTCTTCAGACAGGGTCTTGCTAAGTTGACCAGGCTTGTGACCCACCTGCCTCAGCCTCCACAGTGCTGGGATTGCAGGGGTGAGCTACCCTGCCTGGTACCTCCTAAATTCTTTGAAGTATAGTGGCTGCAGCCAAAGGCCTGGGTAAGTTGTCCCTGGCGGGAACAGTGTTCAGGCTGTGAGCAGGTCTTTGGGGTGGGGCGGCGGTTACCTGCAGATGCCAGGGCCAGGCTCCGGTTTCCTGAGGCACTGCTCCCGGCACTGTGGGCACTAGCACCGATCTGTTTTTCAAGTGTGGACGAAGAGTCTCGGGGCTGCGGCCCAGGGCTGGGGGTGCTCCTCTGCGAGAGAAACCCATAGCGGGTCAGCGGGCTGGGGCAGGATTTCAGGCAGGGGACTCTATTCCACCCGCTCACGCCACCTTTCACCAGAAACAGACTGGGGGTGAGAACAGACAACATGCTGCGGTTAAGCCTGGACTCCGCCCGCCCTACTGGCCAGGGAGCAGCAGCGCTCTTGAAATTGCATGGCTTGCGACTTAACAAAAAGGAACCAGGTCATGCCCAACATGAAATGCCCATCCTGCCCCCATCTGCCCACAGCAGCCCGGTCCATGGCTCACCACCCTCTCGGCGCGGCTGGGCAGGACCACACTGGCCAGGGGAATGCTGACAGGGAGCTTATTGGGCTGCACGGTGCTGAGTGGGATGCTGATGGGCAGGCTGGTGATGGTCTCCCCATGGCTGCTGTACATCCGTTCCTTCCCAGCCTGCACAGACGCGGATGCAGATACAGACCATCTGCTATGGGCCAGCAGACCTTGCCCTGCATGCGTGAACTGCCTTCCCTACACACCTCTGGGAAGCAGTATTGGACATCTCCAGGCCTAAGGGCCCCACACTGCTCCCCCACACTGCCCCTCCTCCTGCCTGGCTGGCCCTCTGGCCATGCTGTGTGATGTCCTGGCCTCCCAGGGCCCCTACAGCACCTTTTACCACCTCCCCGCTAGGCCCCCATGGCAGATGCCCTGGGCAACAGCCTTCTAAACTGGCCCCAGCATGGTATCAGGTTGAGGGCCAGCCTGGCAACGCCTGCTTCTGGAACCTCGACCACAGGACCTGCCTGGGTCCCCTGCCCTGTCATCGATATCTCCACTCATCCCTGGGTCCCCAAATAGCTCCACACATCCTCCAGGCTAAACTGTGCCCCTAATGGATCCCTAAAGTTACCCCGGATGAACACTTCTTGTAGCACCTCCCAAACCTCGGGAGCCTGTCCTGCCCAGCACTCAGCTTGGGGGACACTGGGGGCACGGACAGGACAGGGCAGTGCCTCACCTTCTCACTGTTCTTCTCCCCTACTGTGGGGGCAGCCCCAGGCGAGGTGGGCCTTGGGTCCTGAGGACTCAGCTTCATGCTGTTGGACAGACCAGGGCTCTGGTAGGGAAGGCTGTTCTCCTTGGCGTGCTCGGCTCTGTAACAGGAAGCTGAGTCACTCTTGGGAGCCCTCGAAAACCTCCAAACCTCTTCCAAACAAATGTGGGCCTGCTGAGACCCCAAGAAGCCCTGGGTGGTACTCACCTCGGATGTGGCTCACTTGCTGCTGCCTTGGCAGACCCGCTATGGTCCTGACTCAGGTGCCGGCGCAGCACGATCTTGGCCGGCGACAGCCTGGTGTAATCTGGCAAGGCCAGACCCGACAGCTTCTCCAGCCGAGGCCGGCCACTGTGGCTGGGGGTGCAGGGCACGACCTCCTGGTCCAAAGGGGAGGCCAGGTACTGCGGAGTGTTCTGCTTGGATGAGGGTCGGCTCAGTGCGCTGCAGAGCTCATAGCTGGCAGTGTGGCCATTCATGGAGAGCTCAGGGCTCATGCTGCTGAAGGGAGGCAGGGAGAACTTGGTACAGTCCAGCTCAAGGTGCAGCCTGCTGGCAGCCTCGGCCTCCAGCTCTCGGCCCAGGGCACCCTTCCCACGCAGGTGCAGGGACAGGGCATCGTCAGGAGGCACACAGGACTTGAGCTGTAAGAGCTCCTGCTGCCGCTGGCTCTTCTCCAGCTCCACGATGCTGATCTGCGGGGTAGGAGGTGTCAGTCAGATCGCCAGGTGGAGGGGTGGCCACACTGCCCAGGGTGCCCCACAGGCCCCATCCTCCATCCACAAATGACAGGAGGGACCGTCCCGAGGAAGGAACCAAAGGTGACCACATGGGAGCTGCTGGAGTACCCATCACTTATGCAGGGTGAAAAAGTCCAAGCTGCCCCTGTCTAAGCTTCGAATGTTCTCGTAAGCACAGCAGCACAGCCCTACAATCTGGATACCTGGCAGGCTAAGGCAGGAGAACTCCAACTGCAGATTCAAAGCCAGCCTCGTGTAACTTACTGAGACCCTAACTCAACACTGATTTTGTCGTTGTTGTTCTGTGTATTTGTTTGTTTGAGGCAGGGTCTCACCATACAGCCCAGGGTGGGCTAGAACTCACACCAATCCTCTTGCCTCAGCTTCCTAAGTGCTGGGATTACAGGCATAAACAACCAAGCTTGAAAAAGAGCTGGGGCTGGACCTCAGTAGTACAGTGTTTGCCTATTTTGTCCTGAATTTAATCCCCAGCACCACAAAAAAGAAAAAGTCAGAAACTATGTGAAAAGTTCTCTTCTAGCCCAAAATATAGAAACAGCCCTCATTTGGTCACTAAAACACATTTTTTTCTTTTAGATGGAAACTCATACTGTTTTCAAGCTAGACTCAGACTCCTGAGCTTAGCTGTGTGAGATGGCATGCACTTATCATCCCAGCACTCTGGGAGGCTAAAGCAGAAGGCTCACAAGTTCCCAGCCCAATCTGAACAAATGAGTAAGACTCTCTCTCAAATAAAAACATAAAGGGCTGGGGACGTCACTCAGTATGGAACTCCTGTGTTCCATCCCCAGCACTGTAAAAGAAAGGAGTAAGGGGCTCAAGTAATCCTCCTGCCTCAGCCTCCCAGAGCATTGGAATTACAGGCATGTGTCACCACACCTGGCTCTGGCTACTTGTTATTAATAAGGCACCTTCTGCTGAGCTGGTGTGGACACCAAGGTCCACAGGGGATATATGGCACCAGGATGCAGCAGGGCAACACGTCAGGGAACCTTCAAAAGATAGTAAAACAACTTTTGGTCACATGTCATTAAGGAAATAGCCTTAAAAGTCTCTGGGCCAGGTGTGGTAGCACACAACTATATCCCAGCAGTCTTGGCAGGATAAGGCAAGAAGATGATAAGTTTAAACCCAGCTTAGGCAACATAATGGCTTAGTGAGACCCTGTCTCAAAATGAGAAAGGGCTGGGGATGCTGCTCAGTGCAAAGTCTTTGGGTTCAGTCCCTAGTACTGCCCCCCCAAAAAAGTCTGATACAAAGACCCACATCCCAGAGTTGTTCTGCAGTGCATCATCTGAAAGAACCCAAAGGACCCACTGACAGGGAAGCTGTAAGTCACTCCACACACCACACGCTGGACACGGCCTGCTGAAGGGGCCTTTAGGCTCTTTAGTGCAAAGCTGCACGTCTTGCCCCTACAGCGTCAACCATGCAAGTAGCTGCAGGAAGGTGTGGAGGGGGAAGCACACCATGGCCTTGTGCTCCTCCTCCGCTTTTCCTGCCTTGCTGAATACACTTCCCTCCTCATCAGAAAGTATCAGCTGAGTTTTGAACGAACAAGTCCTGCCAGTGACCTTTCCACAAGCTCTTTACTCAGCGGCAGCCAGATCTGAGGTTCATGATGGAGCCCGAAGACTCCAGGGTTGCTCAAAGAGTGATAGTGACCTGGTCTGGAGTCAGAGCCCCAGTCACCCTCCGGACTCCAGGGCCCACCTGCAGCTCCAGGCAGTGCCGCTGCTTCTCAGAGATCTGGCTCCGCAGTGCCTGCTTCTCCTTGCGCAGGTTCTCCAGGGACAGCGTGGACCAGTCCAGCTTAAGTTCCTCGCAGCGCGCCCGGAGCTGTGGGCACAGGGATGGGCTTTCAGTGGGGCCTGACCAGACGCACAGAGCAGACTGGGATGGCAGGGCTCCCCAGGCCGGTGCCGGGGGCTAGCTGGAGGCAGCTTAACTCGATCCTCCCATCCCAGGGAAGGGTTGCACCTAGAAACCTGCACCAGAGCCTTACTGGGCAGGGACCTTCTGGCTACCTGTGCCAGAGGACTGCATAGCTGAGCCAGGAACTGTGGGGACAGGCTTCCACCAGTGTGAGGCCCAGGACAGTGCAGGAGTGCTCCCCAAGGTTGTGGAAAGCCCTGCCCACGGTGGGGACACGCACCAGCTGCAGGCTCTGGCTGCGCAGCTCTCTGTTGTCCTTCTCCAGCTGCTCCGACTGCTCCCGAAGCTGCTGGTTGTGGGCTGAGATCTCCTTCTGGGCTTGGATCAGGTCATTGTAGGTTAGTGCCTTCACACCCAGCTGGGGATGCAGGGAACGCAACAGCATGAGTGAAGCTCAGAGGTCACAGGGACAAACCGCATGGGGACAACCCGAGGGGCCCAAGCATGTCTTTCCAGAGGGGAAGGGTGAAACTCTCCCCTAGGTGACAGAGAGGAGCAGACAGGTGGGACCACAGAGGCGAGCAGAGGGAGCCCCAAGGATGCAGCCAGAGCCACCCCAGTCCTGCACCCTATGTCCCAAGGAATTCGGTGAGGAGGGTACTTTGGGAAAGATGGCAGCCAATGGAGAGGGGTTGGGGGGATGACGGAGGATCCATCCGCTGGGCCTCGCCCACCCCCAAGGGCTAGGTTCAGAGCTTGGTTGGGAAAGGGTTTCAGGGTGGCCAGCTCAGCTTCTGGGCCACTACCTCATCCAATTTCTGCTGGAAGAGCCTGCGGATCTCCTCCTTCTGGGCCTGGCAGTGTCCGAAGAGCTGTTGCGCCGTACCCAGCAACTGTGCATTCCGCTCCTGCAGGCGGGAGGGGCAGGTGACACAGGGACCAGTACAGGGTAACAGACCCTGAGCCAGCGGGGACGCAGCCGCACGCACCTTCTCCTGGTCCAGCAGCTGCTGCAGGTTGGCCTTGTACTGCGGCGTCTTTGTGTATGCCAGGAACTGCAGGTACTGGATCTTGAAGGACTCTAGAGACAAAACGAAGTGGCTATGGGAGCAGACACGCAGGACACAGCCTTCAGGCAAGCTCACCCAAGGGAGAGGTGGGAGGTGTGTCAGACACAGACATGGGGCTCCTGGTCAGCCTTGAGAGATGACCTCAGGCTGTGTGTAGTGCCCACACAGTGCATGATGGTTCCCTGGGACCCAGGCAGCGTCCCCTGGAGCAGGGACTCTGGACAGTGGAGTGCTGAGCAGCATCCCTGACTTCTACTTGCCCCTCTGCCAGGAACACCCTAGATATGACAACCACACATGTGGTAGACATCACCAGGTGATACCCAGTCTCAGATGCCCAAACTGAGCCTCTGCCAACCTGCCTGATGGGCCTGATCCCACCCCCACGACCCCTCAGGGGGCTCAGCACAGGGTCACCAGGAGCCCCCAGCCTGACCGGTGAGGTGTGAGCCACGGCCCATAGAACCCAGCATCCATTCTGGAACCTTGCAGGCCCTGGGCCAAGGTCTCAGCTGGCACCCTCTGGGCAAGGCTCACCTAGCAGCTTCTGCAGTGCGGGTGGGGTGGGCGCCACCAGCAGCGGGTTGGGGCCATGCCGTGGCACACTCGGAGGTAGCTGGTAGAAGGGGCTGTGAGGGGACTGGTATGCATCTGTGGGCAAAAGCAACATCCCTATGTCAGCCTGCCCCGCCCTTCAGCCTACAAATCGTGGTAGGCAACACTGTGGCTTTATAAACGTGAGGCTCGCTGAGTCCAGAGAGCCCACTAAATACCACATCCTGTGGTCCTGACCACCAGGCAACTGCCCCGCCCCCTGCAACTGTTGAATCCATGACCTCAGAAACCTCTGCTACACTTTTTTTTTTCCCCTAGTACTGAGGATTAAAACCAGGGCCTTCACACTGAACTACACCCCTAATATCGCCAACCTTTATTTTGAGAGAAGTCTTGCTAAGTTGTCCAGGTTGGGCTTGAACATGTGATCCTCCTTCCTCAGCCTCCCAGAAGTCCTGGGATGATGGGTATGCACCTGTATGCTCCGCCCTGCCTTGTTTTACACAAGACTCTCCCTGGCAAGGAGGTGAGGACCAAGCCCCACACTGTGCTGAGAACCCAGGAGGCCTGGCACAGGACACAGAGGCCATCCTGATGGCCTCTGCTCCTCCCACTCCCCTGACAAGGGTGGACTCAAGGTGCAGCTCCCTATGTGCATGTCTGGGGACCGAGACACCGTGCCCAGGTGAATACGTAAGGCCAGGCATGGCATGGGGTGGGCCCGAGGCTGCTCACCCTGGGGTGAGGAGGACGCCGTCTGGGACACGGTCTGGGCATGAAGGAGATCCAGTGCAATTTGGTTCTTCTTGGGCTTGCGCTCAGGGTTCGCAGTGTTCATTTTCTTGGGGCGCCCACGCTTCCGACCAGCCATCTTCCGCCCTTTCTTGTTCAGCTTCTTCTTCCGGGCCTTGGAGGGCGACGGCTTTTTGACTGCGGTCACCCCGGTCTTCTCTTCCTCAGCACCAGAGTCCTGGTGAACGGACAGTTAGGGCAACTGCAGGAAGGGCGAGTGGGTGGGCCCCATGCACCCAGTGAGCAGCAAAGTGGGGGCAGCGCAGCCTGCAGGACTCAAGTCCCATCCCTGACGACCCAGTCATGTGTGGGCGGGCCTCACCATGGGGGCCTCGGCGGGGCCAGCCGCCTTGCTCTCGGGGACCTTAGTTGGGGTGGTCGCATTGCTCTTGTTCTCTCGCTGCTGCCGGCGCCGAGCGGCCTCCTGTTCCTCCTGGGAGGAGAGTCAGACAAGTGCCCTGATGACCCCAGCGTGCCTGCATTAACTCCTCTACCCAGACACACATGAGGAAACAGGCACAGAGCCTGAGTGGCAGCCCCCACAGGAACATTCACAGCTGTGCAGAGGGACACAAGCCAGGGCCGCTGACTGTGACCAGGGAAAAATGGAAGGGCCTCCAGAACTAGCCAGATGGAGGAAATGCCACAGGCAGAGGAGAGGTCCAGCAGTGCTGCCCTGCAACAGGGAGGCCTGGGCCCCCGTGGGCAGAGTGGGCCCAACAATGTCCCCTGAGAGTCACTGGGGACTATGGCCGCACCCTGGACACAGGCTGCAGGCTGGCAGGGAGCTGGGCCAGTGCACTTCCACCACCTAGCCCCACCTGTCCAGGGAACAAGGGAAAGGCTAGAGACAGCCATCTCCTCACTGATCCCCAACTCTACAGAGAAAGGCCGCGGGGATGGACATGCACTCGACACTGGGGCAGTTCACCAGGTAGCCAAGGCCGGAAAAGCGGCATGAGGCGGACTACAGATCAGCATTCGGTGCAACAGGGATGGGCAGACCAGGCCGGCAGGGCCCCCTCTACTCTGAGGGAGGGCGCAGTGGGCATCTCCCAGGACATTCGGACAGAGCCTGTGGGGCCGCACACAGCAGAGCACCGGAGAAAGGCTGGGCTCTCAGACCACCACCCCATCCCAGCTGCTTAGCACCTTCAGACTTTCCATGTTCCTGAACCATGGAAAAAAACCAGACTTACCCTGAGTTTTGGGTTTTTCAGACTAGAAAAATAATTTTCAAGCTAGAAAGAAAAGAAAAACATGCTTATTAAAAGTAAGTCGCAGACTCTGACAAAATAAAGGGGATACCGCGGACAAATGTGTCTGTAAGGCGCACCCACACCTGGGGATCAAGCGTACCAACAGCCACCAGCACTGGGGACCTGGGAATGATATGGCCCCTTAACCACCAGGGTAGGCAGGCATCAATCCTCACCTCCCAATGACAGCTGGGGACATGTTCCAGGGACACAGCCTCCCCTTGCAGAAACATCAGCCCACCCCAGGACTCCTGCTCACATCACATGGCCACGGTGGCCAGCAGCAGAGGTGGTAGCTCAGCTTGCAGCCTGCCCAGCTGCCCCATGTCACTCACAGCCGGCGGTCTCCATCCCAGAACGGACACAAACCCAGAATGGACTCCCCAGATTGGACACAAACCCAGGCTGTGGCAGGTGACAGGCTCAGGTTGGGCCACATGGTTAGCAGTACCACACACCCTGCATAGGGCAGGCAGCAGGGAAGTCCATGAGGTGGGGGGTCAGGCAGGTCATAGGCCAGCAAGGCCCTGTCAGGGGACGTGGGAAGACAGCCCCAGCCCCAGGGCTCCATCTCACACAGAGAGCTGGGAGTAGGTAGTGGAGGAGGAGACAGGCCGCCCTACACACTGCAGGTCTCTGGGTGACAAGGGCAAACCCATCACCACCCCACATCATTCAGGAAAACACGAACCCACCAGAGCCCAGAGTTACCAAGTGGCCTTGACCCAGGCCTTGTGCCACTCCACAGGGAGGAAGCAGAGGGGAAGAGCAGCCTGGGGACAAGGCAGGGGTGGGAACACCTTAGGGTCAGGGAAACATCTCGGATACTCACTATGGTTCGGTCAATAGTGTGCAGGTAGTAGGACACCGGCTTCCCCGTCCACGACACGGAGCCCTTCAGGGGTGACAGCTCCACCACACGCATGATGGTGCCGATGTCTAGGGGTGAGGTAGGGTGGGGGGACAGAGACAGACAGGTCAGGGCCTCTACTGTGCCCTTAGCTGCCAGGACCTGACCCCCAGAGGTATGTGCACAGTACCCCAAAGGCCCTTCCAGCCAAGTAGACAGACTCTAGCTATGGCCCCAGCCCTCAAGTGGTCCATGGCGTCCCTAGGCTTGACCCAGTCACTGGGCCACAGAGGCAGAACAGCACGAAGAGGGTGGGGCTTGTCAGGAGAGGAGGCATGCCCAACTAAGGAGAAAGGCCCACCAAGTGACCGGGAGACATTCAGACTGTAGCCATGAAGACACCAGTGATTACACAGGCAGCTCTCAAGAAGTACAGCGCAGGTCACCAACAAGGAGCCTACGGTGCCCACAGCTAGAGCCAGCAAGGTGCTGGAGGGGATCGCCCTGCCCCACAGCTTCCGTAACTCAAGGCCTTTCCTTCTCCACCACCTCCGCTCAGAGAAGGTCTCACCCAGGTGATCCTGCCTTTGCGAAGCACAAGGGGGGATGATTAGGGACACTTGTGGCTGTCATGATGGGGAGGGCTGGCACACAGCAGGCAGAAGCCAGGGATGCCACCTGGCACCCTGCAGTGCTTAGGATGCCCACCCCGGAGAATGACCGGGCCCAGTGGGAGCCCTGCCAAGGGGGGCACCCTATCTTAATTCAAGTCAGTAGTTTAGAGTGACCAAGATCATTAACCTAGTAACACAAGAGCTTATTACCACTCAAGTTTCTGCTGTTTATTCTGAAGTTCAGAGGCGCAAAGGGCTTTGAGGATACAATTCTCCCACCTGAAACACAAAAACCGATTACTGCTATTCACGGGGTAAAGGGACACACACCAACACAACTGAGAGCCATGGAACTTAGAATGTGGCAAAAGGTTACAAAAGCAGAAATGAGTGTTCTAAACAAACAACAGGGCCTCACTCCTGTCTATTTTCTTGTAAGTGAAGAAAACTACCCCTTAACTGTCAAGTGTAAACCTATCCTACACATAACTCTCTTTAAAAATGTTCTGGCTGGGGATATAGCTCAGAGTCTGCCTGGCAAGCACAAGGTCCTGAGTTTGACTCCGATACCAACAAAAGAAAAAAAAAAAAACGTTCTCAAACCAGGTGTGGTGATGCCCACCTGTGTACTCCCAGCACTCAGGGAGACTAAGGCAGGGGGACTAAAAGTTTATGCACAGGCAAAACAACTATAGTGATTTAAGGAGGCCCCTTCTCAAAATAAAAAGTAACAAATACTCAAAATAAAAAGTAACAAATAGGGCTGGGGATGTAGCTTAGTGTAAAGGCCCTAGGATCCACGCCCAGTCTAGCAAAATAAACAAACAAACAGGGATGTTCTCCCTTCTCATCAAATCTCACTGGTGCCAACCTCTGGCCCCACAGCTGAAGGAAGGAGAACAGACTCACAGAGCCACCTTCGCAGCCAGCAACAACCTCGCTGTGCGGCATGTGGCTACACCAATGCTTGGGAAAAGGGTCACCAAGGGCCTTGGGACCACCACATGGTGGAGGAAGACAGAGCCACAAAGGAGTGAGGGCACCACCACCGATGGACACACACACACACACGCACACACACAAAGCTGGGCACAGGCGCAGGCCTGTAGTCCAGCACGCAAGATGCGAAGGCAGGAGAATCACCAGCCCGGGAATGGTGAGAGTTCAAAGCCAGCCTGGGATATACAGCCAGGACCTTGTCCCAAAACACAAACACCAACCAACCAAACAATAGTAGAAGAGCAGGCCAGGGGGTGCTGAGAAGGGCCCTCCGGGCAGTCAGCGAAGGGCAGGCTGCATGTGAATGTTTCCATTCAAAACCAGACCTGAGAGCCAAAAAGAGTGACCTGCACATAACCAGAAAAAAATCCATTCTCCCAAATGACTCTCACACACAGTAGTCTAACTGCACTGTTAGTTTAACAAATTCTAAGGACAAAAGGACAAGAAACCTTGCATTTCATGAAGTTTACTATTAAACATGGCTATTACTACCTGAAACTGTGAGGCTATTTTACACAGAAAAAAATCATACACACTAGATGCATACTAAAAATGGACACACTAAATATTTATTCAATACATACATACTAATGCTTTCAGGAAGCAAACTTTTTATTTATTTTTGTGGTGCTGGGGACCGAACACAGGTCCTTGTGCACGTAAGGCAAGAACCCTACCACTGAGCCACATCCCCAGCTCTGCCTTTTATCATAAGAATAAAGAAAAACAAATTAAAAATTCAGAAAGAGTCATAGTTGGTGGAAAAAGCCTATAATCCCAGCACTCAGAAGGCTGAGGCAGAGGCATGAGGACTGCCTTGAGTCCAAGGCCAGACTGGGCTTGATAGTGAATTCAAGGCCAGCTGCGTTACAAAGTGAGACCTTGCCTCAAAAAAAAGGTAGAGAATGGAGGCCAAGGCAGGAAGGCTGCAAGTTTAAGCTGAGCCTACACAACCTAGTGAGCTAGCAAGACCCCATCTCAAAATTTAAAAAAACAAAAAACAAAAAAAAAAGAGCTAGGGATGTAACTCAGTGTGAAGGCCATGGGTCCCATCCCCAGTACTACAGGGGAAAAATTTTTTTTAAAGTCAAAAGATAAAAAAAAGTCAAAAGAAGTCCAAAAACATGCAACCACTTAGCTCCATGCACACACTCACCCACACCACAAGACTCTTGCCCGCTAGTGCAAGAGGGCTCAGCTGGGGCAGCACAGGGTCAGGCCCGGATCCTTGCTGAGGCAGGGAAGGAACGAGCCTCACAGACAACAAGCAGGGCATATCTGGCATTATCTGAGCTCCACAGAGAGCAGGGACGGTGTCGTGGCCAGTTACCGCATGAGCTCGACACCTCACCTAGCAGAGGGGTGTGGCAAAAGCTGTGCACAGATTGCCCAGTGCACCATGGCAGCAATGGTCACCAGCCACCTCCCTTCTGCAGTGCCCCGTGTGATCCTGGCTCCCAGCAGGGTCAGCCAAGGTGAGGGAGACCTTCTGAGGGCAAGGCTGGAAAGACGGGGCACCTACTACCGCAGAGGAGCGTGGCCTTCCTGCCCCGCCATGGCACCCAAGCTTGGCTCTCCTGACAAGCAAGTATCCTAGCGCCCAGGAACCAGAGAGTGACAGGCTGAAGCACAAGGAGAGAGAAGACAAGGAGGTCAACGACCTCATAACACAGCCTGATGCACAAACTGACATCATTAAGACAAGGCTATCGGGGCTGGGGATTTAGCTCAGAGGCACAGCGCCTGCTTGGCAAGCGCAAGGTCGTGAGTTCGATTCCTGGTACTGGGGAAAAAAAAAAAAAAAAAAAGAAAGAAAGAAAGAAATCAAGTCATTAAAAAAAAAAGACAAGGCTATCAGGGCTGGGGTACGGTGCAGTGGTGAAAACCCGTCCTGCATATGCAAGGCCCTGTAATCCATCCCAAGCACAAAAAGGAAAAAAAACAAAAACACAAACTAAAAACAGAGGGCATATGAGAGAGCAAGTCACAGCAGCATCCACACATGAACGCTGTCAGGAAAGCTGGGGGGATAGGGCCCTAAGAGCCACCCTTGGGACAGTTGAAAATGGAAAGCAAACCATGGCCTGTACAGGAGTCACTGTTCCTTCTGAGGTGACAACAGTGCCCAAAGGAGGCGTCCTGGTCCTCAGGAGGGACCTAGGGATTACTCAGGTGGAGCGTGGTACCTGCAGCTTGTGATTCTAAAGTAATCCAGGAGCAGCCTCCACCTCAGTTCCACACACACACGCAGGGCCCTGCGCACATGGAGACACGCACGCCACGCTAACGGTACTGCTCGGGTAGCTGGGGACTTGCTTTACATTGCCTGTCTGACATTTTTACATTTGCTTCCTGGCTTGAGGGAAGGGAAGCAGCCTGGTGGAAGGGCAACTCGGCAAGACCTGGCCCCCCACAACACACATCTCAGCCTAGGCCAGGAGAGCCAAGGAACTGTAGGCTGCAGGAGAAGCACTGCCCCAAGCTCACACTAGAAACAGCTACAGCCCAAGGCCTGCAGGTGGGCAGGCAACTGTCAAGGTCACACCAGCCATGGGCTTGCCTGACCTCCAGGAGAAGAGGAACTCTGAGGTAGGGGCTCAGGTAGAAAAGCCACCTCACCACCTGAGAAAGCGGCAGCTTGCAGGCCACGGCCTAGGTACAGGGGATTTGAATACATAAGCAGTAGAACCCAGGTCAGGGTCTCAGAACACAACAGGAATGAGGTCCCCCTGCTCTGCATCCTGCAGACACAGGCCCTGGGTAGATGGGGCTGCATTACCTTCTTTCATGTTTGCAAATCGCTCCTTCAGCTGGTGATCCACCTCAGGACCAAAGGCAAAGTTATTCACAAATATAACACTGCAAAACAATGTTCCAGTTGAGTAAAACCAAAGCTCCACGTAACGCGAGTGCAGAGTCCCAGCGTGGACAACAGGCTGCCGCCGCCACTGCCAGGCACTGCCCACACCCATCCCAGGAACTCATCTGTGGGACCCAGGGCCACAGGGCGATGCCAGCTGGACCCTTCTGGAGGGGTCAGGATTTGAACCATGACAGTGTGAAACCCACAGCACTTGGAGACATCCCCTGGCAGCCCAGGAAAGGCAGAGAGCAGTCACCAAGGACCAGACAAGCACAGCGAGCACAGCAACACTGCAAATGGCAGCTGCCCGGAGACCAAGCAGGCGCTCAGGGAAGAGCAGGGATGTGGCAAAGCTTTAAGCCCCAAAAGAAGGGCACCAGGACCCTCTGTAAAGCCTGTGACAGGACAGTTGAGGACACTACACAGGACCAGCACTTGAGGCCCTGGCCACCCACTGCCCCACACAGGGCCTACGCATGGGCAGGTTGTCAGAAGCCACAAGTGGGGCTGGCACTCACAGGAGAGTGTGTATGGCAGAGACCTGGATGGCCAGTGCCAGCCAGGGTCCCAGCCCACGAGCAGCACAGCCCCGCAGCCATACCTCGTGTTGGCAATCCGCTCTCTCCACTCTTCTGACAGAAAGTCACCCCGTTCCAGCTGAGAAAGAAAACACAGGGACACTTACTACCTCGACCTTGCCCTGTGGCCACTTTGGAAGAACATGAGATGAGCAGAGTCATGAGGGTAGGGAGACTGTGAAAAGCCAGGCCGACAGGAGAGGGCAGCCTCGCTGCAGCAGGGCAGGTGGCCAGGCTGGCCTGGGGGGACGTGGTCACAATGCGCCAAAGAACACCCACAAGTCCCGGATGGGATTCCCATGCGGCCCCTTACAGAGCTCCCCACAGAGGGCGGCCTGTATCCTCAGGAACAGCACAGTGTGGGCTGTGTGAAATCCCCAACCAGGCGTGAGCATCCCCATCCTCGGTCACTGCCCACCACCACCATGTGGGCAGATGCGGAGGGACTGTACCAGTGGCTGAGGGGGTCCCCACCCATCACACCCTCCAGCATGAGTCCACACAGCCTCGTGCCTGGAAGCAGTGCCTCCAGCAAGCCCTGCTAGAGGCCCGCCCCTCTCCCCAAGCTGTCCAGGGACCACCAGTCAGGCTCCTGAGACGAGTCCAAAGCCTGTGCGTGCAGAGGGCCACAGAACCAAATCCCTGGTGCTGGGTCTCAGCATGAGTGATGCCCTGAGAGAGGGTTCTGCAAGCCCTGCATGGTCTCCCACCTGCCCCCGTGTGCCACTTCACACGGCTGGCTCTGCCCTGGGTCCTGCTGCTGTAAAAACCACCTCAGCCAGGCCACCAGCACATGCTTGTGATACCAACACTCTAGGAGGCTGAGGCAGGACTGAGAGCTCAAGGCCAGTCTGGGGCACCTAGTGAGACCCTGTCTGAAAACGAAAGGCTGAGATGTGGCTCAGTGGCAGAGCACCCACCTAGCATGCATGAAGCTCTGGGTCGCAGCTTTAGCAACACAAAAAAATCAAAAATACCCAACACAATCTCTGGGACAGCTGTGTACTGAGTTCTCTGATACCAGCTCCCTCCTCTGCAGCTCCCTATCCAGGGCATACCTCCCCTAGCACCCACCCAGGAAGTATCTTCCACACCCTGCACACCCCAGCGAGGTTCCTGGCTCCCCTGGCTCTGTCACTGGGGCCAAGGACTCACACTCATGACTGGGTGCAAAGGCAGGAGGGGAAAGCCAGGTGGCAGAATGCCCAGCAGGCACAGGCAGTGACACTCTCAGCTCTGTCCTGCACAGTCCTCCCCGGAGCACCTCGAGCAGTCTGCAGGGCAGGCGAGGGCCTCGGCAACAGGAAGGCCAGGCCTGTTCGACGCCCCACTTCAGTGAGGAGACTGTGGAGGCTCCACTCCACCCAGGAATGCCGGAAACACGGCCACAGCAACAAGTGACGGCCACATGCAGCCTCTGTGGCATAGTCATCCTGCAAGCACCCACAGCAGCCAACACACTGGCTGGACATAGCAGAACCCAGAGATCCTACCTCACTGTCTCTTTCATTTGTTTGTCTATTTAGTTAATTTATTTTGAGACAGGGTCTTACTAAGTTGCCCAGGCTGGTCTCAAACTTGTGACCTTCCTGCCTCAGCCTTCAAGAACTAAGGTGACATAAATGTCCCACCATGCCAAGAAGGCTACAGACAGCTCCGGGCCACCTTTTCCGATGGGGAGGCAGTGACAGGCCACACAGCTGCTCCTGAGCCAAGGTCTCTCCTGCCCTCTTCTGTGCAGTGGCGCCAGCCCCAGAGTGCGGCGGGTCTCAGCACAGGGCTGGGAGGCCCTCTCTAGAGACAGATCCAACACTCATGGACTCGACTCCTGCCCTACAGCAAGCTCCAGGGCCTCAGAGGCCGGGTGGGGACTCAAGGTCAGAAGCTGAGGGAGCAAGATGGGACAAGAGCTGAGATGAAAGGGGGGCACAGGCTGGGCAAGAGCAGCTCCCGAGAGTCAGGCGCAGCTATAGCCACAGGAGGGAGCAAGTCAGCAGGCCCAGCTGGGCGCCACTGCCCGCCAAGCCTCTGCAATGGGGCGGGGATCCCTGGACCCAGACGCAGCTGTGGGCCTGGAAAAGTACACTAGGCTATTTTTAGGCTCCTGGCTTTTTTCCTCTTCACCCTTGAGTAACGGAAGACAGGACTTGGAGCCAACCAGGGCGCCGTGTCAAAGCCACAAGAGCTGCTCAGAAGCTTGTTCAAATATCAGGACACAAGCAACCGCCAAAACGAGGAGTTAAAACAGCCAGGCAAAAGCTGGACGCGGTGGCGCACGCCTGTAATTCCAGCACTCAGGAGGCTAAGGAAGAAGGACTGTGGTGAATCTGAAGCCAGCATGGGCTACACAGTGAGTATAAGGCCATCCTGGACTACATACTGTCTCAACCACCACGCCCCCAAGAAACGAGCCAAGCAAGTCCAATGCAGTGGCACATTCCTATAATCTTAGCTACTCAGGAAGTTGAGAAGGGAAGATCACAAGTTCCAGCCCAGTCTGGGCAACTCCACAACTTAGGGAGACCCTGTCTCAAAATAAAAAAAGAAGAGCTGGGGCCAGAGCTCAGTGGCAGAGGACCCTGGCTGACTCTAGCTCACACCCTGCTGGGGAACAGCCGGCAGGCAAACAGGACAATGCTGGAAACAAGGGAGGATGCTGTAGGGGGGAGGGTGGCACAGACGCCTGCCAACCCCACTGCTGGGTCCCCCAAGCCCATGATGAACAGCATCTTTTCTCCAAATTCTGCTCACAGCCACGAGGCAGAAGGCACCAGCACGAACAACGAGCACCCCAAACCTCAAGGTCCAGAGTGACAACGCACCAAGGCTGCACCACAACTCCAGCCACATGGCTGACCCAAACCCCTCCAGACCAAGTGCTGTCCACCAGAGATGGAAAGATGAGGCGAGGGGAAGGAGATGGGACCAGGACCTTCCATCCTCACCCCTGCCACTTCCTCCCAGGGAGCCGGTCAGCCCCAGGCTCAAGCCCCTGGGGAAATAAAGCATAGGGGCTTCTCAGGATTGATCAGGTTTTTTCTGGGAATCGTTCCAACGAGGAGCACATGTATGCTAGGTGCTTAGAATCACCTAGACCTCCCACAGGCGTGAAGTATTCGAGTTTAACAGGGCACATTCCAGGGAGGCATGCAGTGTGGAACCTGGCTCCCTCTGGGAGCTGTCAGCAGAGTCTGGGAAGATGCAGGGCGGGGGGGACCCTAGGAACAGGAGGCAAGTGTACTTCGCACCTCCTCAGCCTCAGCAACACACAGCAGAGACCTCACACTCACAAGAGACAGGAGAGCCTGTCAGCTCCAGTCCTCCACTCTCATGGAGGAGAGAGGACGCGAAAGACGCTATCACAACACAAAGGCCAGCAGGCTGGGTACAGCAGCATGCACCTGTCATGTCAGCACTGGGTGGCTGAGGCAGGAGGATCACATCTGAGTCCAGCCTGGACAACTTCAGTGATAGCCAGACTTGTCTCAAAATAAAGGATAACAAAGGGCTGGGGATGTAGCTCATTATGAAGGCCCTGGTTCAATACCCAGTGTCACACACACAAAAAAAAAAGAGTGGAAGACAGGAAGAAAGGCAAGGTGGGCCAGGGCCACCACCTGGGATCCATGTACTAGCCCAAGACAGACGGCAGAAGAAGAAGGATTTCCTCAAGGCTGTGCTACCCAATACCAAAAGCCAACCAATGTGGCTCACACCCAAGGCACAGGTGCCTCAATGCACATCTGGAGAATCTGAGCCTGCTGCATGCCCTAACCCACCACACACCCAAAGGCGCAGGCTGCATGTGGCTTGGCAGCAGACTACTTAATCACCCAACATGCATGAGGCCCAGGCGCCAGCACAAAACAATAGAACAAAAACAAATCAACAGATTAACACAAGAAAACTCAGCTGATCTGAAACTGTCCACTCAGCTACCACACACATGGAACATGAGTGGACACCCAACCGCTCCCTCAAGGAGGGCCCTCACTGGAGGTGAACCCTGTACAAGCCAGAGGGAAAGGGCCTCTGCCCATGAGCGCCCCACGCGGGAGGGTGGAAGGAAGACCGAGACTCTGCTCAGGCATGAGGCTGGCTCGGGCAGCCCCTGGATGGTGAGCCTCCCTCCCGCGAGCCTCAGGGTCCCCACACATGCCCTGGAGGACAGAAGGGCCCAAGCCGGAGAGGCTGTGGAGGACAAGGCTCCAGCAAATGCCCCGTGTACCACTTGGGCCACAGACTGGTGGGTATGGGGAGTGGTGCACCATGTCACCCACACGGCAAGACCAGAATGGAGGTCAGGAGAGAGCGGGGCTGGGGGCTAAGGGCTGGGCTGGGGTTGTAGCCACAGGGCATGGAGCGATGGCACTCACTGTGTATTCTGCATGCTTTTTTCCATACCATTTCATCCACTTCCTGAACTCTCGGTCCATGGTCTGGAAGGGAAAGAGGTCACACAGCCCGTCAAAACTCTGGGCAGCCAGGAGGGCCCCAACAGGCCCACATGTCCACACAGCTGCAGCTCCCAGTGGTCCTTTCCAGCCTGGCAAGATCATACAGGTCAGGACCTCAGTTTCCACCCACAGTACAACCCCACTGAGACCTTCCTGGGGTGGGGCAGTGCCCACCAGAGGCAGGCTCAGCAGGGATGTCCCAGGGCTCCCAAACCTCCCCCATCTAGAGGCCACCAGGCCACGGGCTCTGGACACGTTTCTACAGAACTGACACGCCACTCACATGTCCACATGCAGCACCCCACTGCTCCCTACCCCGGGCAGAGGCTATGAGAGGGTGGCCCAGTACAGCCCGATCCTCCAACAGGAAGAGGAGACAACCAAGGGAAAAGACTGGGAGAATCTGAACCAGGTTGCGTGCCAGGTTCAGTGGAGGAGCTCAGCACCAATTGCATTAGGAGGGCAAGGTCCCATAGTAGGGAAACAAGGGCCCAGAGGCCCCACCAAGCCTTGCTGCTTCTGGCAGTGAGACTGGCCCTCTGTTGGGAAGGTGCTGGATCTCTCTCTCTCTCTCACACACACACACACACACACACAAACCTTGCTTCAGATAAAACTCCTCAGCCTAGTAAGGATGCTGCCCACATGGTAAGCTGAGGTGCTGGTGCTGAGGATGCCCCGCTTTTGACACCTGCCCCACATATATAACCCAGCTTCCTGGACCACGCACCTCCGCATACTTGGCTGGGATGTCTGCTTTCTCGACTCCATAGTGATGTTTGCAATTGGTGGCTGCAGCAACCTGGAGGACCACCTGCCCCACACCTTCAATGAGAGAGAGATGCATCAGAGACCCATGGAGCACTCAGGACAGAGGCTAACGCCAGAGGATGCCACCAAGCAGACACGACCCAGGGAGGGCATGTCAGAGTTGGGCACAGGGGCCATGCTATGATGTCCAATGACATCAACAGGTATAGCACATGGGACAGCTCAAAGACCCATGACACCCTCTGAGGTCAATGAGGACAGCCCTTGTAAGCCTGGCCCCATGCAGACTACTCATCAAAGAACAGACACCTCTATTCACCCCCGCAACCCTACCAGCTATTTGTGGCCCCAAAAGAGATGTGTGGCAGGTAAAGTGTTCCCACAGGCCCAGCTGAGCTAAGACTTGGTGATGCCCAGACTGGTGGCCCCCTGACCCTCACGGCAGTGCTGCAGCGCAAACACAAGCACACACACAGGTGGAGTCACACTAAAACCACCTCACGGAAGTGCAACTGGCAACTACGGTAGCTCTGGGTCTGGAGACACAGCTGGGACTTAGTGTCCCCACGTGGCCCCTCTGCAGGTCCAGCATGACAGCTGGATTGGCCAACACCCTGGGGTCATGAGGACTGAGGGCCACAAGTCCCAGTAGCTCTGAGACCACCTCTCCTGTACAGTGGGTCCGCTCTCTTCAGCCCTGGTACCAGCTACCTGACTTTCCATGCTGAACACAGTGTGTGGATAACACGGAGCACTAGGGAGGGAGAGGGGGCCACTGCTGGCAAGGGGCAACTCCCTGTGAAGCGTGCGCCCTTTAGGAGATGCTGGGATTCAAGCACACGTATCCCCCAGTGTTTCTGTGGAAATGAGATCCCCAGGCCAGTGCTGAGGGGCACTGTAGGAGGTGACTGGGCCCCGAGGGACAGGAGCTGCACCTTATAAACAGCTGAAGGGAGTAAGCAAGGCCCCTTCCTGCCCTGCCACCTCTGTCCTGTGAGGTCGAAGCAACAAAGTCGCTCCTAAGAGAGTGGGGCACAGACCCAGCTTCTCACCGTGGCACATGTGGCCAGGCCCAGCCCAAGTTCTCTCCTGTGCAGGTGAGATCTCGACAGTGCTGACGACAAAGCCGCCTGGCAGAGGAGGAGCCCCATAAGCCAAGCACCTGCTGGGGCTGGCCACAAGGGTAAAGGCATGAAACAAAGCTGGCGGGGGCTCAAGAGTCACAGGGCACAGAGCCGCAGGCCTCGATAGAAGGTGTGGGTGGGGAGCAGCTGGGGTGGGGGCCGGAGCCTCCCTGAGCTGCTGGCACTGTCCCACCGCACCCTCCTCTAAGCACAGACTCGCACGCACACAGACAAGGGGCACAGCCAGGAAACCAGTGACAGCTGGCAGGCCCCTCAAGGGAGACCCACCACTGCCCAGGTCCACGAACAGATCATCCTCGGTCATCTTGATCTCATCGATCATCTGGGCCACCAGGTCGAAGGAGGTTTCCCCGTAGACCTCGGGGGAGAAGGGCTCATAGTTGTTCAGCTTCTCTGGGTCGGTCACCGAGTGGTTGTAGACCTGCTGCAGGATGTGCCGCAAGAGCCCATTGGACGGCCGTGTGTTCAGCTTCATGGGCTGGGTGGTCCCCTTCCACTGGGGGCAGAGAAGTGATGGATACGTCATGCATGTGTGCTCACCTGGCTGTGCCCACCCTGCCCGGTTACTTTCCCAGTTAGACACAGTGGGGTGTGGAGCACTATTCAGTGAGGGTTTGCCTGGCACTCATGAAGCTCTGGACCCCACTCCCAGCACCTGAGCCTTAAAGAAAGGGGTGTGTGTGTGTGCGTGTGTGTGTGTGTGGGTGGGTGGGTGCGTGTGTGCGTGTGCGCGCGCGCGCAGTATGGGCCCTTAGGTGAGCTGCATACTCAACTCTTCTCAGTTCTGACCTATCGTGGGAGATGGGGAGTGCAGCTTTGGCTCCCCTTACTCAACACCATGCTTGCGTACCCAGCACACAGGTTACTTTCCCATGCTGAAGTTCACTGGGGCACCACTGCCCCCAGCACCCCAGCCGACAGCTGCCCCATAAGGAACACCTGGGCCCCAGCCCTAAGGACAGGCCCCATGCAAGACAGCAGTCTGGCCTCTTTCACTCAGGATCTATAGCCTTAGAAAGGCCATCTTCAAGCAGGGCATGGTGGTGCACGCCTGTAATCCCAGCTCTCGGGAGGCTGAGGCAGGAGGATTGTTGTGAGTTTGAGACCAGCCTGGGCTACAAAGTGAGTTCAAAGGCCAGCCTGAACTGCATAGTGATACCCTGTCTCAAAAAAAAAAGGAAGTCCATCTTCAACTAAAAAGCTACCAAGGAGAAAAAAACCTAGCTGACAGCCTAGATGTGCCAACTGCTTCACAGCCCTGGCATCAGGCAGTGGAGCCACCCCTGCAGGCCCTTGCTCAGCTCTCTATAACCCTGGGGTACCAGTTCTGGCCCTGGGGCATCACTACAAAGACCTGCGCCCTGACTCCTTATGACAAGGGTGGATGAGGCTATGCCCTTTGTGGTGCAAAGCTGCCTGCCAACACCACCACACCCTCTGCCATACACAGCACTGGGACAATGTCGGGCAGACGGTGGGGGCCTCCCAGAGCAGGACTGCACAACCGAGGGGGCAGGCCACTGCCACTGGAAAGGACCCACTGGAAAGAACTCAGGATCTGCTGGCCCCTGGCAAGGTCCAGCTCCAGCACCAGGAGCCCATGAAGGCCCCTGGCCTGTCACTGCTTATGCAGGAGTGCCTAACACACTCAGCAGACTCAACTGTCCTTCTGTGGTCAGCACTGGTGGTAAAGGCCACAACCAACACCCACACAGGCCAGCCATCACCTGAGAAGCTCCATGGAGCTGCACATGGCACACAACCACCCAGCCAGGGCAGGCAGCCACATGGGGCTCTCAGCACTGCCAGCTTTGGAAGAAGCCTCAAAGCCATACTGCACCACCCCCAGCTGCCCCAACAGAACCCACTCTGGCTGCCCCACCAGGGCCGAGCACCTGTGCATTCTCTTAAGAGGACCATCCTTGGAAACAGGAAACAGCCCATACTCTGTTGTGTCCCAGCCCTCCCAAGTTGCCAGTGTGACCAGGATGGAGGACAAGTCACAGGCTAGCTGGAAGGCAGGGGTAGTGTTCACAGCCCAGGCAGTTGCTTCTGCCCACATCTCGACCTTGTCTGAGGGGAAAGGGGCAGAGATGACAACCTGCAGCACCTACTTTAGAAAACAAACTGAGGTCAGCTGGGTCCTGACTGTGCTGCTACCAAGCTCCACCACTGGAGCCCTACTGCATAACTGGTCTGCAAGGTCCGGGAAGCCTGACTTCGAAAACCCATTAGATCGTATGGGACAAGCTTGTGCGGTAAGGCCACCTACCAGCTGGTGGATGCTGTCGATGGCTCGGTTGTACTTGTCACACAGCCTCTGCATGCTCTCGAAGCTGGAATAGGCAAGAGAGAGGTACCGTCCCAGAGCAGGACTGCATGGCCGAGGGGCCACGCCATTGCCACTGGGCGGGACCCGGAACCTCAGGAACAAGCCACTGGGCCCTCCCAAGGCCCCGCACCAGCACCAGGAACCACATGAAGGCCCCTGGCCAGGGCCAGGGCCACTCCTGAGGCCTCGCACATGGGCAGGGCAGGACCAGGTCTGATCCTCATGAGGAGCTCCAGGCCAATGCCCGCACACAGGCAGCCAGGCCAGACCACGAAGTTCTGGCCAGGAGACTGTGCAAGGGCAGCTTGGGCCACTTTGGGTCCAGGAGTCCAACCCAAGGTCAAAGAACACTAGCAGGCACAACTAGAAAAAGGAGTCTGCACAGTGGGCAGGGCAGGGCCAGGCCCTCACTGTACTCAGCTAGAATGAACAGAAATACACCAGGACCCCTTTGAGCAGTCTCAAGAGAGTTGTCCTTCCCCTGGCTGGGGTCAGCCACAGTGTACCCTGAAGGGCTCCCACGCGGGGACACTGGGGCCACCAGGCACAGGCATAGTGTGAGGCAGTGGCTGTCCCTAAAGACCGCAACTGTGCAGGAGGGGCAGTGCCTCCTTCCCCCACAGGCAATGCCTGTCTGGGAAACTTTGAAGGTTCCTGCTGTGCTCAGAAACACAAACCTAATCAGAGCCAAGTTGTCTGATACCAAGGTTTCTTCGGCAGTTACGACAGCCCAGGTGTGACTCTGCAGCCCAGGCTTTTTTTACTTTTATTTTTACAGTCCTGGGGGCTGAACCCACACCTTTACACAGAGTTCCATCTCCAGCCCTTTTTTAATTTATTTAATTTTGAGACAGGGTCCCAGGAAGTTACCCAGGCTGGGCTCAAACATGCGAACCTTCTGCTCAGCCTCCCAGGGTGCCGAGATGACAGGTGTGCTCCACCACACACAGCCTCACAGCCTTTCACTCACAGATTTGTACTGTTCTCAACGGTCGGTCGGCAGAGCCCCAAGTCTGCCATGAGGCGCTCTCCCCAGAGGACTTAGAACGCATACTGTCACTGTCAACAGTAGGAAGCGCTCTTTTCAGCCTGCGGAGGCAGGATTTCCGGGCCACAGCGGAGCTCTGTGCCTTGCAGTGCCCACAGTGCCCAGGGGGAGCCAGCGCCTGCAGAAGGGAGGGTGGCTCTGCGCCCTCTCCATGGACTCGCAGACTGTTTCCTTCCTGAGGGGGGCGCTGAGAGCCAGCTGAATAATCAGACCCTCCTCACCCAGGACAGGAGGCGGGTACCCGACTCCCACTCCACGAGCCTCCACCAGCACTGCTGGCCCTGAGCCTCAAGCTGGATAAACCTGCATGGGCTCTGTGTCTGCTGAGTTTTCCACTTTCTCCATCTAGTAGGAGAAATTAAACCCAAACCAGAGCTCCAGGGGACAGGAGCACAGCGTCCTCCCATGGCAGGGCATCTGGAAGCATGGGAACCCAGCACTCTGCTGTCTCCTTGCTGCTCAAACCCAGCTGGCTGGCAGCACAGTGAAACCCTGTCTCAAAACCAAATACACGGGAGGCCCAGGGATTTAGCTCAGTGGCACAAGCGCCTGCCTGGCAAGCGCAAGGTCCTGAGTTTGACTCCCAGCACCAAAAACAAAACAACAACAACAACAAAAAAACCAAATACATGGGAGAAAGCACAAGACTGCAAAGGCAGGAGGACATCTCAAAGCTGAGGACACTTTACAAAGCACAGTGACAGCAGGACACAGGATTCCAACCATGTCAAAGACCACTGTTGCGTGGCATCAGAGAGCCGGTGGGAGCCACCAGGGACACACATAGGCCTGAGGTAATTGGACAGTGCCCAGGGTCCTCACCCACAACCTCACCTGTGCACCAGGGCAGGCAGCGGCTGGCAGCATCATGACCAGCCAGGACCATATAAGATCCCCCCATGAAGCTGTGTACATCTGGGAGCTGCCTCCTTTTTGAGGCACCATCTGGGAAACCCCACTAGGCCACCCAACTCCTCTGAGCCCCATCCCCACTGCGTCCTCTTTCTGGGTTTTTCTTATACTCCAACCCTGCCTTCAGCCTAGACAACCAGAGATCGCAAACCTCTGGAGACCCAGGGGACTGTCCTGGAAGGAGGTGCACATGGGGAGCATGGCAGAGTGGGCCCTGTTCCTCAGCCCTCTGGGCTCACCTACAGTCACCTTGCAAGGACTACGTGGGGCGAGAATAAGGACCTCCCACCGTGTGCCCAACCACAAGCTCTGAAATCTGCTTTGAGCCTGGCCCCCTGCACCCGCCCAGCCTTTCCTTTTATTTTTAGAGGTAGGGTCTCATTATGTAGTTCAGACTAGCCTTGAACTCTCAGCGATCTGCCTCCCTCAGCCTCCCAAGTCCTGGGATCACAGGTACACACACCACGGCCAGCCTTTCCTAAGTGTCTGTCTGCGTGGCAAAGCCACCGTAAAAATCTCCCAGGAACAAAGACAGGAGTTTATTGGTGTGCACACATGGGGCACAGGAGGGTGTCACTCCACTGCCACAAGGACAGGGGTTCCCACACCTATATACCTTTGCAGACCTCACCCGTGGCCTCACCCGCCATCTGGGTCCTTATCACACTCCTTGTAAGAAACCAATGCACTAACAGGTCTTTCCCTGAGGAGGTGGCTTATCTCAGCTCCTCTGGCACCAAGGCACTGCTCTGACAGGAAGGACACCAGTGTGTTGGCCCTGGAGGGGTGGGGCCGGGCCAGGAGACAGGACCAGCTGTCACAGAGGCAACACTGCTTGAAGCACAGCAAGCCCTCTCCATGTCAACATTAAGCCACTGGGTGAGGGTCCTACGGGGACCTGCAGGACCACTCTAGGCTCAGTTGTCTGAGGAGAGTGACCACCCACGTGCTCCTGACACAGGGCAGGTTACCAGAGCTGGAACAGTTGTGAGCCTGGGCCGCCCTTCTTTCCAAAGAAAAACAAACCTCTCTGGCAGGCATTCCAGAGATGCCTGGCCCTCCACCCACTCTCTCGAAGGAAAGTGCTAGGAGCCTCGAGGGCAGGAACCACAGCCCCTGGTCAGGCCCATAGCAGGCCAGTGGGAGATGCAAGTCCCAGGGCTGCTGAGGGACAACAGGGGTGGCCTGAGTGGAAATGCTGACATCTGGCAGCCACTTCCAGCTATAAAAAGAGCTGCTGTTTATGCTGGTTAATTCCACACACACCAGTCCAGGTTCCAGGCTGTGGAGTTTCCAATTCTGTCCTCACTCTGACAGCCCTCGCCAAGGCTCAATAAATATTTTCAACCAAAGTAACCGTAAGGAGCCACAGTGAGCTCTGCAAGGAAACCCCGCAGCTGCTGCGCCATCGAGGAAGCACCATCCTAGAGGAGGCGGCCGGGCAGCCTCTTCTTACCTTTTGGTATCGTAGTCAATTAAGACGTAATTCTCCATGGCCAGCTTGAGATCTGGGATTTCCTCACAGACCCATCTGAAACAGAAAAGTAGAAACCACAGGAATTCTATTAAGCAGATTTGCTTTTTTTGTTTTGTTTTTACAGGCCTCAAACTCAACTCTCCTGACTCTAAAATGGCAAAACAAAACTTCCACTGCATGTGGCGGTATGTACCTGTCACCCCAGCACTGTGTGAGGCTGAGGCAGGAGGACCATGAGTCTGAGCGCAATCTGGGCAACTTAGCAACTTAGTGAGACCCTGTCTCAAAATAAAACATAAAATATCTGGGAAGTAGCTCAGGGACCTTGGTTCCACTCCATAGTACCACCAAAAAAAAAAAAAAAAAAAGCATGATTTATAATGTGAAAGAGAGGAAAAACATTAGTTTCTAACAAATGCTGTAAAGTTTATGATGGAGTTGTTGTGAATCATGTAGATTTTACATGGCTTCGAGGTTGAATGGTGTCGGCCTTGGAAGCAAAATGAACTCACATATCACTGTAAAAAACAAAACATATAAGGCTGGGGATGTGGTTTGGTGGTACAGCATTGTGTAGCAAAGCCCTGTGTTTCATCCCTAGCACTACAAAAACAAATAAAACAAAAAGTAAAAAATGTTATGCCAGGAGTGCTGGCACATGCTGGTAACCCTGCACTCAGGAGACTGAGGCAGGAGGATCACAAGTTCCAGCCCAGCCCAGGCAACTTAGCAAGAGTTTGTGTCAGAAAATAAAAAGTGCATGTGGTGGTACACACCTATTATCCCAGCACTCTTGAAAAGCTGAGGCAGCAAGATCTCCAGTTTGAGCCCAGCCTAGGCAACTCAGTGACTTAACAGGACCCTGTCTCAAAATTAAAAATTTTTTTTTTAAAAAAGAGGAAAGACTGGGACTGCAGCTCAGTGGTAGAGTACTTTCCTAGCATTCACAAGGCCTTGAGTCTTACCCTTAGTGCCGCTAAATAAATGAGAGGACACTGTTGAAAGACTGAGACATAGGCCATGTGATGACGACAGTCTACTGTAAAATGACAGCGTGACAAACCTTCCTAGAGAAATAGAAAGGCAGTGAGCAGCCAAGCTGGGAGAGTCTTGCCTTGAGGCTGGGGAGGTGGAGGAGGACACAGAGTGTCGGACGCTGACAGAGAACAGGCTCGGCCCGCCCTCGCCGCCGGAGCCTGGGTGCTGCCATTCTGGGCCCCTGTTATCTGGCAACACCCTGGGAACCTCAGGGAAAGGATGGACCCAGAGCACCGTCCCGCACACAGGGTCGGCCAGTTCGGCTGCGTTACAAGACACCGTGGTCATATGGCTCAGGGATGGCACACAATGACAGAGGTTACACAAGAGCGGGGCTCAGAAAACTGCACCCCAAAGGCATCCTCTGATGCGCCAGGAGGCCTCAGTCATGGGCGTGGCATGCAGGTCTCTCACTGATCTTGCCTCCTCCCCCAGCACAGGAGGAGGTGCTCTCCTAAGCTCGGGATCTGCCTGAAGATGAACACGCAGGGCCCCTGAGATCTGCTGTCCACAGTGGAGGAGAAGCCAGGTGACTAGCATCTGGAGAGACCCTATCCCACTCCAATTCGAGAGCCACACCCAAGTCCACTTCTGTCTCCAGGGCTTCTACCCAACAAACTCTGGGGATGCTAAGAATAGACTGAGGGGACTGTGACAAGAGCAAGGGCACGTGTGCAACAAGCCGGCTGTGCCCTGCACAGCTGTCCCCTCACCCTCTGCTTGGAGCTCCCCTGTGCCATGCCCATCCATGTCAAGGCAGCAGGGCCCAGGGCCCAACGCCACAGCACCCCTCCCCACAGCCCCTCGCTGTCCAACACTCACCGAATGGTCTCAATGATTTCATGAGCAGCATCATGGTGTTTGTCCTGAAAAGCAAGGGGCAGCGTCTCAGACACCAGGCCTCCGTCTGCCCATCCACAGGACAAGGGCAGGGGATGTTGCCCGTTCTTCCCAGGCAACCATTGCTATGGACTTTCATTCCCTGACATGGCTCTCAGGTCAGCCCCACAGGACCCCAGAAGCCCACCGCAGCACTGATGCCTCCCCGAGCTAAAGCCTGGCTGTGCTTTCTGCCTCTGCGTGGGCCCAACATGCAGCCGGCAGGTCCCTGAGCCCCTATGTAAAGTGGCGAACACCAATCACAACCACTGGCCAGCCATGTGCAAAGCCACATGATGGACAGAACAAGTCACATCTGCAACCAATCCTCACACACAACACCACTGCCCTCCACCCCACCCTCGCCTTCTGTCGCCCAAGGATGGGGTCTTCAGGAGGACCAGGCACATAGCTGCCATGCACATACCACGCACACGTGACACACTGACAAAACAGGCATAGTGTGGGAGCGCAAGCCTCTAATCCCAGTACTCAGGAGGCTGAGACAGGAGCATCACTGTTTGAGGCCAATCTGGGTTATACTGCCTTCACAGCTAGCCTGGACTATACATGCTGGCCCTGTCTCAATAAAACAGAACACAACACAACAGAGGAACAGAAAAGGAAGAAAGAAAGGAGGTGCGGCCTTGTGTTCCCTGCCTCCCAGCTGAGCCTATGGGCCCAGAGGGTGCCAGCCTGGGCTGGAGACGCCTTCATTCTCACCACGGCCCTCAAACAGCACCCACGGCCACAGCTCCTCAGCCACTCATGGCAGCAGCCGAGGCTGGGCCAGTGTGACAGTGATGCCCCTTTCCATATGAGCACTTTTAACTTTTTTTTTGTCTTTTTGAGACAGGGTCTCACTATGCAGTTCAGGCTGACCTTGAGCTCACTTTGTAGCTCACACTGGCCTCAAACTCGCCACAATCCTCCTGCCTCAGCCTCCTGACAGCTGGGATTATAGGTGTGCACTACCATGCCTGGCCATACGGCACTTTTCCTGGCCCTGGCCCAAGACAGGAAGAACAGAATAAAGCCGCACATCCACCTCCCCAGCCCACCGCTCTGTTGGGGGTTGTGGGCCTCTCATCTCCTCACAGCTCTTGGCAGGGGGACCTCAGCCCTGGCCATCTGGTTTTCCAAACACGCAGCTGTGGACTTTCCTGGTGCAGACCCAGGTCATGCAGTGCCAGTTATGGCCACATGAATGGGACTCTCAAAAGGCACCGAGTACCCCACCACCGTCAGGCTCTAGACTGCTCACCAGACCAACTTCTCTCTGCTCGCTGAGCACAGCCACCAGGGACGCTACTCACTCACGGGCCGGGCTCTGCTTTGGCAGGGACCCTTCCTGTGCTGTACACAGTCTCCCTGCCCCTCACACTCAAAAGCCTGGGTCTTACTGCACCAGCGACGGTGAGGGACCCGGGGTCCACAAGCGTCCCAAGGGCTGGCAGCACAGGGCCACACTTGGCCTGGAGCGCAAAAAGGCCTGGGCGAGTCTCACAGGAGGGCCTGGTGCTTGCACCAACCAAAGCTGCCCAGGCCACTCATGCCACCAACGGGCTCACACCAAGAAATTCAAAGCTGTTCTGTGAAAGCAGCCACTCTTAGCCCAGGCCAAGGTGTCCACACCTCCACAGCGAAGAGAAACACACTGCCTGGCAGAGACACAAGGAGGGTGCATCTGCAAGGGTCTCCCACTATTCAGGAGAATCAGAATAATTCTGTAAAGAACACAAGGCCTAGCATGGTGATGCATGCCTGTAATCCAGCACTTTGGGAGGCTGAAATTATTTCACAATCTAGTGAGACACTGTCTCAAAAAAAAAAAAAAAAAAAAAAAAAAAAAAAAAAAAAAAAAAACTGGGAGTGTAGCTTAGTGCAAAGGCCCTGGGTTCAATCTCTAGTATCGTTAAAAGACCCAAGGTCTTACTTTTCGTAACCGCTCCACTGAGGGATAACTTACACACCTACAGTTTACTGATGTACAGTACAGTCACAATCTGGGCTGGGGTGCAGCTCAGTGGTGAGCACTTGCCCAGCACACATGTGGCCCTGGGTTCCATCCCCAATACTGCAAAAGCATAAATAAATTAGACAATTTAAAAGTAAGAGATAAAAGGGTCAGGCATGGTGATACACGCCTGTAATCCCAGCACTCAGGAGGCTGAGGCAGAAGGATCCTTGCAAATTCAAGACCAGCCTGGGGTACCAAGCCAGCCTGAATTGCATAGAGAAATGCTGTCTCAAAAAAAGACAAAGTATATACAACTCAGTAATTTAGCACATCCAGAGTTGTATAGCCATTACTATTTTTTTTTTAACAGTGCTGGAGTTGAACCTAAGACCTTCACACTGAGCTATATTCCCAGCCCTTTTTATTTTTTATTTTGAGGCAAGGTCTCACTAAGTCACCGAGCTGCCCAGGCTGGGCTCAAACTTGCAATCCTCCTGCCTCAGCCTCCCCCAGTGCTAGGATACAGGTGTGTGCCATGATGCCAGCTACTAAACCTTATCTTTCAAGGCAAAAAGAAACAAACAAACAAATAAAAGAAAAACAAAAACAAGCTCCTAGCGCGCCCAACAAAACGCTCCAGAGCTGGAGGTGCAGTTCAGTGGCAGAGTGCTTGCCTGGCACAAGGGAGCCTCTGGAGACCATCCCCAGCACCAGAAGAAAATACTCCAACTTACTGAGGACCAACCTGCCAATATTTATGGATCCTTGGTGTGTCCATAACTCCTGCCTGCCCATGGCCTCTCCTCACTGATTCATAGGGCTCCAAGAAAGGGACAGAGGAGCAGCCCAGGAGCCCTGGGTTTACAAGCACTACTCTACCCCTGTCACCTCACACAAAGTGTAATGGCTTGTATCTAGATGTTCCCCCAAACCCTTGTGTGGTCTGAGGTGGGGAGTTTTATTTATTTATTTATTTTTTGTCTTTTTGAGACAGGGTCTCGTTATGCAGTTCAGGCTGGCCTTGAGCTCACTTAGTAGCCCAGGCTGGTCTCGAACTCATAAGGATCTTAGGATCTTCCGGCCTCAGCCTCCCAAGTGCTGGGACTACAGGCATGCGCCACCACACTCGGCATGAGGTGGGGAGTTTTGAAGGTGGCTGGATTAGCGTGTGTGAATGTGGATTAAAGATGTGATACTGGGATTAAGGGTACCCCACCATAGGTATGGGTGGCACCAACCAATAGGTTTGTAGACTGGACAGAATATGAAGCAACAGAAAGAAGCCAGGCTTGGCCAGGTGTGGTAGCACATTCCTGTAATCCCAGCACTCGGGAGGCTGAGGCAGGAAGATTGTTCCAAGTTTGAGACCAGCCTGGGCTACAAAGTGAGTTCAAGGCCTGCCTGAACTGCATAGTGAGACCCTCTCAAAAAGACAAAAAAAAAAAAAAAAAAAAAAAACCAAGAAGAAAAAGAAGCAGGGCTTACTGCTGCTGCTACTACTTACCATTCTGTTGCCTCCCGCCTGCCATGCCACCAGCTGTTGTTTCTCCTATGCGATGTCATCCCACCCTGCCTTGAACCAGCTGTGAACTGAAACCTCCCCAGAGTGAACTGCAAGAAACCTTTCCTCCTTTAACTTTGAGTGTCAGGTACTTTTTCTCAGCAATGACAAAAGTAACCAAGACGCAGGGATACCTCCATCTGTCCTCCACCACAGGTACAGGACTCTGGCCTCATCAGAAACTCCACTGCTAGGAAAGAGAACTGTTTTCCATTGTCTGCTCAGGGGTTAAAACAAAGCAGATGAGAAGAGTTTTTTCCTGGTAAAAAGCTGCCGCAGCAGAATACTAGGCAGTTCCTCCACTCTGGAGCTCACTGAGTGAGAACTTCCTTAATACATACAACCTCCTGCCTCATACTATACATGGTCATATTTCAAGACCCCCAGGAGATGCCTAAAATCACAGTACAGGGATTATAGGTATATGCCACCATCACTAGCCCATGATAAAATTAATTTGCAAATTATACACTGTTGGGTTTAACAAGACAGTTAAGTCAATATGCTCTATGTGATAGTTTCTATATAGATGTTCACTCACAGGTGGGGCTTTTGGGAGATCGCTGGATCATGGGAGTGTGACATATGGCTTAGTCCACTGATTGGTTTGGTGTAGCTCTGGGTGTAGATAATGGGAAGGCCTACTTGGGTGTAGGTGACACCAACCAATAGACTTGTAGGCTGAATGGGATAAAAAGGGAAAGGAAGGCTTACTCCTTCCCGCCTGCTCTGCCGCAGACTGTTCCTCTGCAATGCCCCTCTGCTATGCTGCCCTGTCTCAGAACCAGCTGACTATGAAACCTCTACAAACTGTGAGCTAAAATAAACCTGTGCTACTTTAACCTGTGAAGGTCAGGTATTTCTCCCAGCAATGAGAAAGTAAGTAAAACTCTGTAATAATAAGTTTGCACCTTGAGGCCATTACTACTAAGTCATGAGTTCTGTGTAGAACAGCCTTTCTGATAACTGAGCTGGCTGCTGAGCAAGCTCTGGGTGGTGGCCTATGCCACCTGGAGACTAGACAAGGGATGGATCCCATCTGGGCAGAACATAGGCAACAGCCAGAGATCCTAGCACATAAAAACATGCAACTTAAACTCAGGAACTAATCTGGCATTCTCCACTCAGTATTTTCGGGCAGAGATGAACCATAGGTAACTATAGCCATGGCAAGCGAGACTGCAGGTCACCCTGGGAAGGTGGCTCGATGCTCCTCAGTAACACACACGCAGACAAACGTGCAAGGAGAACTGTGGGTGTTGGCAGGAAGTGCATGAAAACCACACCCAGGACAAGGCACACTAGGTCTGGAAACAGGTGCACGTGTGACCTCTGGACCAGGTGAAATCCACACCACATTATCTTGGCCACCCACCTGTTGGGGCTTCCTCACCTAGGAAAAGCTCTACCTGTCTCTTCCACATAGGATGCACCCAGTGTTCTACAGTGCTTCTTTCATGCCCATG